CGTTTCCTTCAACGGCCGGAGCTGCCCGCCCGGCATGCCCGGCCGGACCGGCCGGATCGCTTCATCGAGCGGACGCGCGCGCGCTGCCGTGCGGGCAGAACGCCCACCGGAACGGCGGCGCTGTTTGACTTCACTCCCGGTCATGCGCATTCCTCCGATTTCAATGCCGACTGGTTGCAGTATTCTTCGGCAGTCCGGCTCACGCCCGAAGCCGTTCGTTTTCCGGGTCCCAAAGCGGTTGATCCGGCTGAACGACGGCCTTGTATCTTTGTCCGTAGATTTCGACCTCAAGGTCGGTGCCGGGCGCGTCCAGGCCGGATCGCACGACGCCGAGTGCGATACAGGTGTTGACCCGGTAGCCCCAGCCGCAGGAGGTCACCTCACCGACAATCTCATCGCCTTTCCAGATGCTGGACATATACGGCGCATCAAGATCCCCGGCATCGACCGTCAGCGTCACGAAACCCTTGGCTGGGCCCTGCTGCTTTTCGATCTGGAGAGCCTGTTTCCCCGGGAAATCCTGGGGTTTGTCGAGTTTCACGAAACGTCCGAGGCCGCTCTCGAAAAGGGTGTAATCGGTAGAAAGGTCACCCTTCCAGGCGCGGTAGCCCTTCTCAAGACGCAGTGCATTGAGTGCATACATTCCAAATGGCCTGGCGCCTCCTGCCAGAATCGCGTCATAGATCGTGGAAATATTCTCCATATCCGCATGGACTTCCCATCCAAGCTCGCCGGCGAACGAGACCCGGACAAGCATCGCCGGTTTTCCGGCAACCGTGGTCTGCTGATGGGTCAGCCAGCCAAGACCGAGATCGGCATCCGTGAGGTTGCTCAGGAGATCCCTGGACTTCGGACCTGAAACAATGAGGGTCGTCATGTCTCTGGTCCGGTCGGCGAGCGTCAGCCCATCTGGCAGATCCGATTTGAGGACCTCGAAGTCATGCCATTGGGCAACGGCAGCCGTGATGAGAGTGAAGTCGTCGTCGCCATGCCGGATGATCGACATTTCGGTCAGGACGCGCCCCCGGTTGTCCGGGAAATAGCCGAGATTCATGCGTCCGGACTTGGGCAGGCCACCGGCGATTTTCCCACGCAACCACTCGGCAGCGCCTTCCCCGGAGAGGCTGAAGCGGGAAAAACCGCAGAGATCCAGAACGCCGACCGTGTCGCGCACGGCTTCGCACTCTTCGCGAACGCGAGGTTCCCAGGGCCCCGAACGGGACCAGGTTTGCGTCGCCTCTTCGGACGCGTCGTCCCCGGGCTTGGCGAACCAGTTGGCCCGTTCCCAGCCGTTGTAACTCCCCATCTGGCCGCCGAGTTCCAGGATCCTGTCATTGTTGGGAGAGGTTTTCCTGTTACGCGCAGCCGGCCATTCATGATGCGGAAAATGCATTGCATATTCATGGCCGTAGACCTCCTTGGCCTTGTCAATGCAATACTGCTTGTCCGTGTAATCCGTGTAGCGCCGCGGGTCGACACACCACATGTCCCATTCCGTCGCGCCATGCATGATCCACTCGGCAGCGACCTTGCCTGCGCCACCGCCCTGTGCGATCCCGAATGTGAAGGTATGAGCCTCGAATGCATTGGGAACGCCCGGCATCGGGCCGACCATAGGCAAGCCGTCAGGTGCGTAGGGAATGGGACCGTTGATGTTGCGGCTGACCCCTTGCGTTCCGAGCAGGGGAACACGTGCCATGGCATCTTCGATGTACCATTCCAGACGATCTAGGTCGTCGGGATAGAGCTGAAAACTGAAGTCGTCCGGCATCGGGTCATCGGCTCTCGTCCAGGCTGTCTGGCAATTGCGTTCGTAAGGTCCAAGATTGAAGCCGGTGGTTTCCTGGCGCAGATAGTAGGACGTGTCCACATCACGCAGCAGCGGCAGTTTGCGGCCGTTTTTTTCACTCCACTCTGCGATTTCCGGAACCGGTTCGGTCAGGAAGTACTGATGGCTCATCACGGCCATCGGGACCTGGCGGCCGCCAAAAGGCAGGAACCATTCGCCGACCCGTTCGGCGTAGTAGCCGGCGGCATTGACGACGTATTCGCAGCGGATGTCTCCCTTTTCAGTGTGTACGATCCACTCACCGTTTTCGCGGCTGACACCGGTCGCGGGTGTAAAGCGCAGGATCTTGGCGCCGTGGGTGCGCGCTCCCTTTGCCAGCGCCTGTGTGACCTGGGCAGGGTCAATGTCACCATCCAGCGGATCCCAGAGGCCTCCCTCCAGATCGTGAAGTTCAAGGAAGGGGTAGCGTTCCTGCAATTGCTGCGGTGTGCACATATCCATTTCAAGGCCCATGTGCCGCGCCATTCCGGCAACATGGTCGAATTCCATCATCCGCTCATGGCTATGTGCCAGTCGCAGAGAACCGCTGACGTGATAGTTCAGCGGATAGTCGACCTCGTCGGCAAGGCCTCGATAGAGTTCCAGCGCATATCGCTGCATGTTCATGATGCCGTAGCTGCCTGAAAAATTCGGGCAGTTACCGGCGGCATGCCAGGTGGAGCCGGCGGTGAGCTCGTTCTTTTCCAGGAGGACGCAGTCAGACCAGCCGTTTTTGGCCAGGTGATAAAGGGTGGACACACCGACAATACCACCGCCGACAATAACGACACGGGCTGTAGACGGGACGGACATTATTCGGATTTCCTTCTCGAAAAAGGGTCAGTAGACCGGCGGGGAAATGACCCAGACGGCGACTGCGGGTTCGGAATAGGGATTGGCCCAGCGATAAGATGCGTTGCGGATACGAAAACTGTCCCCGGCTTCGACTGTGAATTCGTCTTCGTTCAGCCAGATGTCCAGTTTGCCGGAAATCATGTAGGCGACTTCCTGCGTGGCGCGCGAGATCGGTTTGCTGCGTCGCGATCCCGGTTGAAACGTCGAGTGGATCATTTCGAAACTGTCGGTCAGGTCTGGAGACACAAGAGTTTCAACGAGGCCGGCGTCCCGTTCTCCGATCACGCGGCGCGCGGTAGAGCGAACGATACGGCCCTTTTCTTCGTCCGGTGCTTCAGTACTGCCGAAAAAAATCGACAGCGGTACGTTGAAAACATCTGCAATCTGCCGCAGGTCGGACAGACGTGGCGTGGAGATGTCCCGTTCGATCTGCGAGAGCCAGCCGACCGACCGCCCGAGTTTCTGGGCAAGATCCTCAAGCGTCATTTTGCGGGCTCCCCTGAGAGCCCTGAGGTCTTCGCCCAGACTGTTGCTGTTCATCATGTCGGCCTGCTCGTGAAAATTTCGAAGATAATTTCACGCTTCAAAATGAAAAAATCAACAAAAATTTCACGAGCGAATGAATTTTTTCAGTCGCATTCTCAAGACGGGTGTCGGAAGGGGATTTCAGCCGTGAAAAAGCATCCTACGGGACTGCTTCTTCGAGCCTCTTGGCGAGGTGCGAAATGCCGTCGGGAATCCGGGCCGAGGCAATGGAAGAATAGGCGAGGCGGTAGTATCCGGGCTGCTCTTCGCCTTCGGAAAAAAGGCACGCCCGGCCTCGATCAGCACACCATCCTGCCTGAGTTTCATCGCCAGCTTCGAACTGTCGGCACTATTGGGCGCACGCATCCAGAATGAGGAGCCGCCGAACGTTCCCTGGCCGGTCTGGGTCAGGCCGTTCTCGTGCAGGCTCTGCTCCATGATGGACCTTCGTTTGCGGTAGATCCTGCCCATCCGCGCAATCTGGGCATCGTAATGGCCCAAGGACAGAAAATAGGCGGCGGTGCGCTGGATCAGTCCGGGAGGGTGTCGAAGGACGAGGGAACGCAAGGCCCGTGCTTCACGGATAAAGGGTTCCGACGCAACCAGATACCCGAGCCGCAGGCCTGGAAAGAGCGATTTTGAGAAGGACCCGACATAGATAACCGATCCGGTCGGGTCGAGCGATTTCAAGGCCGGTGATGGAGACTTCAGAAAGGAAATTTCGAACTCGTAGTCGTCTTCCACGATGATGAAGCCCTTTCGGGCAGCAAGATCCAGCAGGCGCTCCCGGCGGGAAACGGGCATCGTGGCATTCGTCGGGCAATGATGACTGGGTGTCGTGAAGACCACGTCGAGAGTCTCCGGCAGGTTTTCCGGTGGAAGGCCTGCGGCGTCGACATCTACCGATACGGTATTGCAGCGGGTCTGGCTCAGGATCTGCCGCAGACCGGGATAACAGGGGTTTTCGATTGCCGCCGTGCGTCGCTGTGTCAGCAGGATTTGCGCGGTGATCCAGAGCGCGTGCTGTGCGCCCATCGTGATCAGGATCTCCTCCGGCCGTGCGGTGATTGCACGCCGTGGCAGGATCTGCCGCAATATGAATTCGACGAGCATGGGATCGTCACGCTCGTAATAATCTGTCGCCAGAGTGTCGAAATCCTTGCGGCCGACTGCCTTCAGGGCACAGTTTCGCCAGTTGTGATGGTCGAAAAGCCTGGCGTCCGACTGACCGTAGATGAAAGGGTACTTGTAATCGCGCCAGTTGTCCGGCCGTACCAGGGGAACGTGTTCGGAAAACCGCTGTCCGATGGTCCGCGCCCAGTCCACCTGAGTTTTGTCGGCTTGATCCGGCAGGTTGAATTTCGGCCTGCTTGGTGCGGTCTGGGAAACGAAATAGCCGGAGCGCCCTTTCGAAACGAGATATTCGTTGGAGACAAGCTCGGTATAGGCGATTGTGACAGTTATGCGGGCAACACCCAGATGCTCTGCCAGTTTTCGGCTGGAGGGCATCTTTTCACCAGGCAGACAGCGACCTGACAGGATGGCTTCAACGATAAGCCGCTGGATCTGCTGCTGGAGCGACGTTTCGTTGTCTGGGCGCAGAAAAAACGTTTCGGCTGGAATTGCCATATCTGGCCCTAATTCTGTTTGCAGCTGGACTTATAATTAGCTGCCGCATTCGAATTGGCAAATACAATTTGGCTTTGGTTTGAACGCGGGTCAAAAAACGGAAAAAGGCATGGCAATGATACTTGCCATGCCCAGGTGGTTTTGAGAGGGAACGCGGAGCTCGCTAGCTGAAGACCCGCGTCAGCGCACCGTCGATGGCGTCTGTTATATTGTCGATGTCATCCGGCGTGGAAATCAGGGCAGGCGACAGGCAGATCACATTGTTCAGGCCGGGAACCGCCCGGTTGCTGACGCCGATGATCACACCCTGGGCCATGCAGTCTGCTGCAACCGCCTGCATCAGTTTTTCAGCAACCGGTTCCTTGGTCGCGCGATCAGCCACAAGCTCTGCGCCACAGAAGAGGCCCTTGCCACGAACGTCGCCGACGACCCGGTGTTTTTCCATCAGGCCGTGAAGGTTTGACATCAGGCGCTCACCCATCAAGGTGGTATTGTCGAGCAGGCCTTCGTCCTCGATGATCCGCATGTTCTCGAGCGCTGCCGCCGGTCCGGCAGTGCAGCCGCCGAAGGTGGAGATGTCGCGGAAGAAGTTCATCGGGTCACTGGCATCGTCCTTGAACATTTCAAAGACATCTTCAGTCGTCACCAGACAGGCGATCGCGGCGTAACCGGAAGCGACGCCCTTTGCCATTGTCACGAAATCCGGCTTGATACCGTATTGCTGGTAACCGAACCAGGTGCCGGTGCGTCCCACACCGCAGACGACCTCGTCGATATGAAGAAGAATGTCGTATTTCTTGCAGATCTCCTGCACACGCGCCCAGTAGCCTTCAGGCGGGGTGATGACGCCGCCCCCGGCGGTCACAGGTTCCAGGCAGAGCGCACCGATCGTGTCCGGGCCTTCGCGCAGGATGACTTCCTCGATCGCGTCGGCGGCACGTTCGCCGTAATTGTCTACGTCCCACTGGGCCCTGTAATCGCAGCAGTGAGGCACCTCGACGAAGCCTGGCGTGTAGGGGCCATACTGGGCATTGCGTTCTTGCTGGCCACCGGCGGAAATCGCGGTGATTGAGGAACCGTGATAATCCCGCTCCCGATAAAGGATCTTGTGTTTCTTGCCGCCAAAGCGCTTGTGCGCGATCTGACGGACCATCTTGAACGCCTTTTCATTCGCCTCTGTGCCGGAGTTGGTGAAGTACACCCGGCTCATGCCCGGCATTTTCGAGATGAGGCGTTCGGAAAACAGCGATCCCGGGATCGATCCGGCCGAATGGGCGAAGTAGTTCAGCTTGATCAGCTGATCGCGCACCGCATTTGCAATGGATTCGCGCCCGTAGCCGACATTCACGGTCCAGACACCTCCAGAAACAGCATCCAGATGCTCCTTTCCGGTCGCATCCCAGAGCCGCATACCCTTGCCTTCCACCATGATTTTCGGATCATTGATCTCCAGCCCCTTGTGCTGAAGCAGGTGGTGCCAAACGTGGTTGCGGTCGGCTTCGATGATTTCACTCAGATCATTCGGAGAAGCTGCAACGTTCATGGCAATGTCCTTTCGTCTCTCATCGGCATGCTCGAAACTTGGCGAATTCGATGCTGGACTGCGCAAGCAGTTTTTTGTGCGCCTGCTCACAATTCAAGCAGACCATTGCATCAATTATTTTCAGTCAACACGGGGGCGTGGGGACATATAGGGCCAGATCTGGATTTACTTTAGATCCAGTTGAGTGTTTCTATTGTAACCGCGTCGTTCTGCCGTAACCATTTTCATATGCAGGCAAGCCAACGTTCGACGAAGGTGGCAAGAGACAGGAATACCTGCGCGTCTGCAAAGTATCGAGGGAACAGTGGGAAAGCATAAATGACCTACAAATCTAAACTAATCGGCTCTCTGGCAGCTCTGGCATTCATGAGCGGCTTGCCGGCAACGTCCGCGGCTCAGGAATTGACAGTCGCGTATTTCCTGGAATGGCCGATGCCGTTCCAATACGCCAAGGAAAAGGGCCATTACGAAGAAGCCCTGGGCGTTCCGATCAACTGGGTTTCGTTTGACACAGGCACTGCAATGTCCGCAGCGATGGCGTCTGGCGATGTGCAGATTGCCGTCAGCCAGGGCGTGCCGCCATTTGTTGTCGCAGCTTCCGCCGGTCAGGATCTCATCCTGACGGACATTGCGGTCAGCTACTCGGAAAACGACAATTGTGTGGTTGCCGAAGCTCTGGAAATCGACAAGAACAATGCCAAGGAACTGGAAGGCAAGCAGGTCGGCGTGCCGATCGGGACAGCGGCGCACTATGGCTTCCTGTCACAGATGAAGCACTTCGGCGTCGACATTTCGACCATGGAGATCGTTGACATGGCTCCGGCCGATGGTGCGGCAGCCTTCGCGCAGGGAAGCCTTGACATGGTCTGCGGTTGGGGCGGTGCCCTGCGCCGCATGGTGGAACACGGAAATGTCCTCCTGACCGGCGCCGAGAAGGAAGAGCTCGGTATTCTCGTTTTTGACGGTATCAGCGTTCCGGCTGATTTTGCCGCTGAAGAATCCGAGATGCTGACCAAGTTCCTGAAGGTGACGGCCGAGGCGAATGCCATGTGGAACGCAGGTGAGAACAAGGCGGAAATGATCGAAGTCATCGCCAAGGACGCCGGCATGGATGTCGATGCGACCGAAGCCACGCTTGCGACATTCACGTTCCCCAACGTTGAGGACAAGCTGAGTGACAAGTGGATGGGCGGAAATGTCCAGACATTCATGCTCGGTGTTGCAGATGTCTTCCAGGAAGCCGGCTCGATCCCGCAGGCCCTCGACAGCTATGTCGATGCCGTGGACTCAAGCTACCTGGCTGCGACGGGAACAGAATAAGCCAGCATCCCTGCAAGTCTTGGGGCGGCAACTGACGTCGCCCCAATTTCCCATTCTTCACACTGCAGGAGATGACTCTCAATGGACGGCCTCCATATCGAAAATTTATCCATGCGTTTCGACCTACCCAACGGAACGCACGTTCAGGCACTCAAGGACGTTTCCATTGAGTTGAACACCGGCGAAATCATGTCGGTACTGGGTCCTTCGGGCTGCGGGAAAACCACCCTTTTGAACATTGTCGCCGGATTTCTGGCTCCAACGGACGGACAGGTGCGATTGAATGGTCACATCGTCACCGGTCCCGATGCCGAACGTGGCATGGTGTTTCAGAAAGGGGCGCTCTTCGAATGGATGAATGTCCGCAAGAATGTCGACTTCGGTCCACGCATGAAATCCATGCCGAAGAAGCAGCGCGACGAGATTGTCGATCATCTGCTTGAAACAGTGGGTCTGCAGGACTTCAAGGAAAAGGCTGTCTATGAGCTTTCAGGCGGCATGCAGCAACGCGTTGCTCTTGCGCGGTGCCTGGCCAATGATCCCGACGTCATTCTGATGGATGAACCCCTGGGAGCTCTGGACGCACTGACGCGCGAGAAGATGCAGGGTCTTGTCCTGAAGCTCTGGAAGGAAACCGGCAAGACCGTCATCCTGATCACCCACTCGGTGGAAGAGGCCCTGCTTCTGGGAGAACGCCTTCTGGTGATGGCCCCGAGACCGGGACGCATTCACAAGGAATACCGCTTGCCTTTTGCCGATCGCGGTGTTGAAGCCGATCTCAGGGAAGTCAAAAAAAGCGAGGGTTTTGGTGAAACCCGTGAAGAAATCCTCTCGATGATCTGGGAAATGGAAGAGGAAATCATGGGTCGATCGGAGACAGCGGCATGACCGGGTCAATTGTTTTTCTGACTTACGCGGCGCTGTTTCTGGCGAGCTATTTTCTGGTCAGTTATCTGAGCACGCTGATGCAGCGCGGGCAGTCTTACACCAGCCTGAAAACGGTGACGTTTGGCGACGAGAGCGCAATCCGCCCAAACAGGGCTGCATCCGTGATTTCGGTGCTCGTTATCTTCTTCATCTGGGGCGCGTTCACCGGTTCGAAGCTGGTTCCTTTCCACGTACCCGGTCCCTTTACCGGTGAGACGGGCTTCAGTTACACCGTTACCAACGAAGCTGGTGAAACCAGTGAAGCCAATGTGGACGTCATCGTCCACGAACCTGGCAAAAAGATCGATGCTCCCGAGGTGGCGCCGAAGGAAGGCTTTGCACAGGACGATTCAGGAACTGTTGGTGCCTGGCGCTCCGTGCTTTTGCGTGTAACCCGCAATGACGGTGAGGGCGCGCGCGTTACGGAAGTTGACGGTCAGCCAATCGCACCCGGCGAAAGTGTCAGTGTTTCCAACGGCAGGGTAAGCATGACACCCAAGGGGTCACTGAATTTTGAACCCAGCAAGGGGCTGCAGATGGAACCCATCTGGATGCCTTCACCGGAAGCTGTGGTCAGTCGCTTTGCGGAGATCGCTTCCGAAGGGTATCAGAATTTCACGCTGTGGGAGCATCTGGGCTGGTCGCTGCTGCGCGTTATTGGTGGCTTTGTCGCCGGTTCGATTATCGGGATCCCGCTAGGATACGCCATGGGCCTGTCCAGCTGGGTGCGCGGTTGGTTCGATCCGATCGTGGAATTCATGCGCCCGGTTCCGCCGCTTGCGCTGATCCCGCTGGTCATCATCTGGTTCGGTATCTGGGAAACCGGCAAGATCGTGCTGCTGTTCCTGGCAGCGCTCTGGATCATGACGATTGCAGCCAGGGCCGGCGTTTCAGGTGTCAATATCAGTAAAGTCCACGCGGCCTTTTCGCTCGGTGCCAACAAGCGCCAGATCCTGCGCTATGTCATCGTTCCCAATTCCCTCCCCGAGATCTTTACCGGTGCACGCGTTGCCATGGGCGTCTGCTGGGGAACGGTCGTGGCCGCCGAACTGGTTGCCGCGCAGAAAGGTGCGGGGATGATGATTATCGCTGCATCGAAGTTCCAGCTCACGGATATCGTCATCATGGGTATCATCCTGATCGGTATCGTCGGCTACAGCATCGATATCCTGATGCGCATGGCCGAGCGGGTTCTGGTGCCCTGGAAAGGCCGGGCCTGACATTGAGAAGTTTACGGCAGGCGCGGTGATGCTGCGCCTGTTCCTGTTTCAAGCAGGGCGCCGGATACCGGTCGAATCCCTGGCGACCAGTTCAGTTGCAAGCAGCATCCCGGACGGCTTCAGTCCGTTTTCAATCCATTCGGAAATAGCAACTGCTGTTGCATGCCCCATGCTGACGACAGGAAGGTGAACTGTTGTCAGGCTGGGTGACGCATGCGCCGATCCGGGCAGATCGTCGATGCCGATGACCGACACGTCCTGCGGCACTCCGACGCCCTGGCGTTGCATTTCATAAAGGACACCGGTCGCAAGCACGTCAGACAGGCACAAAATGGCTGTAGGCCTGTGTGCGGCAGAAAGGATGGTTTGCGCGGACTTGCAACCGTCTTCAATTGATAGATCGGCTTCGACAAAACTCAATTCAGCATCGCCCGTATCTTCAAGACCCTTGAGACGCGCAAGTGTGCGGTCATTACCGATCAGGGAGCCATGCACCACGGCAATGCGTGAGTGTCCAAGGTCAAGCAGGTGCTGCAGCGCGATCCGGCCGGCGCCGGCATTGTCGTAACCGATGGTCGGCAGGTGAAAGTCCGGATCGTAGTAGGATGTCGCAACAGCAGGCAGCTGGCAGCGTTCGATCAGATCATAAAGCCCGGGTTCATGGGTGACCCCGGAGACTATCAGTCCTTCCGCGCCGATATCGACAAGAGTTTGCGCCTTTTCGGCTTCAATTGCCGCGTCGCCCTTCGTGGTGGCAACGACCAGGGAGAGACGATAGCCGGACAGAGTTTGTTCAATCGCCGCCAGGTAACGTGCAAAGATCGCATGATCGAGCGTCGGAACGAGTGCGCCCACCACGCGGGACCGACCGGAATTGATCGCGCGGGCCGCGGCACTCGGTACGAAACGCAGCTCTGCGATCGCCGCAGTGACGGCGGCTTTGGTGACCTCTGCAACGGAATCTGGTGTATTCAGGACGCGGGAAACGGTCGCAACCGATACATTCGCCAGTTTTGCAACATCCCTGAGATTGGCGCGTTTGCGGGATCTGGTGTTCGCCATGTGCCTCTGAAATTGCCCAATGAGTAAATCGCAATTGAGAAAAACTTGACATAGGCACTCCGGGTAAACAAGCTGTGTAACTAGTTACATTCGGCGGAAATCCTGAAAATGCGCGGTCAATCCGTACTTTACACTTTCAACAATGTCGGCCGTGAAACACCGGGTAGAAGCTTTCCCGGCTTCAGAAAGCCGACGCATGCAAGGGACTATTGGCTGGCCCCGCGTGAATCTGTCCATCTCGAAGTGAAACCCGGTGATCTTCTTTCGCTCGAAGATTTATCCGCGAAGGACCAGTTGGCATTGGTCGCTTTTGATGGGGCAGGAGGCGACGCTCTTGATGCGCTCGGGCTGATCTCAAATTCCAGAATGAATTTTAGCAAATTCGACAGTGCCGAACTCGCTGGCTGGATCTCCACAAACGGGGGTCGGGACTTTGATGCAATCGCCGCTCACGTGGTTGCGGTTTCGTCGGGAGTGCTGGTCCTGAAGGCAGAACGGCCTGTTGACCTGTGGCTGATCTGCCAGTCGACCTCGCAGGATCTGGTCTGCGGTTCTTTGGGTGGACCCGCGTCTGTTCGTCACAAGCCTGCAGTGGTTTCAGGTCCTGTTCTGCCCCCACTTTTGGGCGAAACGCGCGACGAATTCACCGTGTCTCGGGGTACGGGACTGGCCTATGAATTGAAGAAGGGTGAAATCGTTCAGATCATTGATGTTGAAGGCCAGCAATGTTCCGACTTTACGGCCTTCAGATCGGACGCCCTGATGGCCGGAGAGGAGTGGATGATAGACAGCACCGCGACACGGTCGATGGTGCGACGCGCCTATCCCGGCCCTGGTCTGTTCGACAAGTTCTACGATCGCGAAATGCGTCCGATGCTCAATGTCGTACAGGATACCTGCGGCCGCCACGATACGTTCGGCCTGGCCTGTACAGCACGTGGTTACGAGGAGCGCGGTTATCCGGGGCATGTGAACTGTTCGGACAACATGTCAGAAGTACTCGACCCATATGGTATCGCGCGACGGTCGGCCTGGCCTGCGATCAACTTCTTCTGGAATACCTGGATAGATCCGGACGACCACACGATCCAGACCGCCGAATCCTACTCGCGTCCCGGTGACTATGTCGCCATGCGGGCGATGGAAGATCTTGTCTGTGTGTCTACGGCCTGCCCGGATGACATTGACCCGATCAACGGCTGGAACCCGACGGATGTTCACGTGCGCATTTACCGACCGGACCAACCGATACGACGTGCCGTGGCCTATCGCGAAAAGGAAGACGCTCCCATGACCACCAGTCAGAACTCCGCGTTCCACGAGCGGCTTTCTGTTCTGACACAGCATTTCGCACCCGCACGCAATCTCTGGGCTCCGGTCAGCTATCCCGCTTTTGGAACCTTGGGCGAATACTGGGCTTGCCGGGAGGCTGTGGCGATTCAGGACATGAGCGGTTTGCGCAAATACGACATTGTCGGCCCGGACGCCATGAAGCTGATGCAGCTCGCAACGACGCGCAATGTCGAGAAACTTGCGGTCTGGCGAGCCTCCTACACGCTGATGTGTGACGACAGCGGAACCGTTATCGATGACGGCACCCTGTTGCGCCTGGGACCGGACCTGTTCCGCTGGTGCTGCGGTGCGGAAGAAAGCGCCCGGGCGCTTGAAGCGCTTGCGCATGAACTTGGCTTGCAGGTTCGTATTCACGATGTCCGCGAAAGCCTTCCGAATCTGGCACTTCAGGGGCCGAAATCGCGGGATCTGCTGCGCAAGATCGTGTTTACACAGCCTCAGGTCCCTGCTCTCGATCAACTGAAATGGTTCGGTGTCACAATGTCTCGCCTAAGGGATCGCGAGGGAGCGCCATTTCTGCTGTCCAGAACCGGATACACCGGTGAGCTCGGCTATGAAATCTTCTGCTCCAAATCCGATGCGATTGAAATCTGGGATGCAGTCATGGCAGCCGGTGAGGAATTCGGCATTGTACCGATGGGAAGTGCTGCCCTCGAAATCGTGCGTATAGAAGCCGGGCTGGCCGCACGGAACGCCGAAATCGCGCCGGGTATAGATGCCTTCGAGGCCGGTTTGGGATTTGCGGTCGATCTTGCCAAGAAATCTTTCACCGGCAGGCGGGCGCTGGAACGGAATGCCCGCGACCCGCGCCGATTGCTCAAGGGGCTTCTGATCGATAGTGATGATGTACCTGCGCATGGTGCCCCGGTCTATGCCGGCGAGCGGCAGGTTGGCATCGTCACCTCCGCCACACGTTCGCCAACGCTGGAACGTGCAATTGCAATGGCTCGGATCGCCGTCGAGCAGGCGGGAAACGGAACGTATCTCGAAATCGGTCAACTCGACGGGCGCATGAAGCGTCTTGGTGCCAGCGTTTCCGACACTCCTTTCATGGACCCGCAAAGAACGCGCGCGCGCCTGACAGGCTCTGATCACATCAGCCGACGTAACGGAAAACGGAAGTCGGTACGAATGAGGCGTGAGTCGGTGTTTGCCTTTAACAGCTGACGAAAGAGCTGATAGATGGCCAATCGCCAAGTCACCCTGACGTAGTTACCTGCGTCAGGGTGACAGGAAGAGTAAGCTTGAGGTTATTGTCTGTCTGAGCTTGGGCTTAACCGGCCTGTGTTGTCTTTCGGCGGCCGAAAAAGAAAATAGCCAAGCCGCCGGCAAGCAAGGGAAGTGTGGCTGGAAGAGGAATTGGAACAGGGCCGTGCGGCGGGACGCCGACAGAATAGTCAAATCCGCTCTCCGAGCTCGTAAAGCCACCGGATACCTCTTTGCCATCCGTATCGAAGACGGACGACCCGATTAGCCGCAAGCTGTTGAAGGCGTCTACCCCGAGCAGGCATGAGCCGGTCTTGTTGAAAAAGTTCCCGGTATGCATGGCTCCGCATCTGGATTCCGAAAAAAGGCTTGCGTGCAGGTCGAGCGATCCTCCGGTAAACGCCAGATCGACGAAGCCCCTTCCGGCTGACCCGAAGTCGTCGGTGGACGTCAGACTGGCAACTCCCGTTGTCAAACTGTTCGTGTATTCGTGCCTACGCTGGAAGATCGTTTCATCGCCGATCCTTACAGAAAAAATGTTGCGGCCAAAGGGCAGGGAACTGCCGCCGAAAGAACCGCTGACTTCCTCGATCAGGGAGATCGCGATATCGGTGAAAAGCCGGAAGGTTCCGCTGTCGACCGAAAATGAAAGCGTGTCGTTCATGGCTGCTGCGCCGCGCCAGAAGTCATTTTCCTCTGGTGTGCCTGTGCCGATGACACTGCTTGGTCCTGCAGCCTTCGTTCTGATGCCGATGCTGCCGAAACTGGCACGGGCATCAATGCCATCGCCTGAAGAATAGGACCCGCAGGAGGCCGCAACGCTCCCCGAAGCCGATGAATTGAAACTGCAGGTCGAGCCGAGAGTAAATTGCGTATTAGCAAGAACAGACGGCGCTGCGTTCGCGCTCACAGGCATGATTGCAATCGCGCCAAGCAGGAGTGCAGGTCCAAAAATGGTTTTCATTGGAATCCCCCCTCAAAATACATTCATTAAGTAATTGTTAAATTATATCGCGTGCTCGAGACGGTACATCACCCGAATGGGCTATGAAATTTTTCGCGAAATCTGATGCGCCTGAAATACGCGTAAGCTGACGGGACGATGCAATTCAAAATCTGAGTGCTCAATCTTCTCCCTCTGTTTACGCATGGACGCTGAAAGTCGGAACTTGATGTTTCCCTTGCCTCTCATGCCGAGTTGGCGCTGCGTCCAAGGTGCTGACTGTCACAGTCACTGGACATCCGCGATTGATCAATTCGGTCTCGACAGGCCAATTTGAACGGGGATGTGGCGTTGATGAGCCAAAATTGAAATTAGGTAACTTTTCAAGTAATATTCCATAGGTGGGTTTTGCAGTGAAATTGTCACCTGTTAAGTGCGTGTCTGATTATTGAAATTCACGCTCTATTGTTAGTAGTGCTTAGTATTGTTTGGAAGGTGGCGACCTTTGTTGGTTGACCCGAGCGGTTCGTGACGCCTTCTTTCACCCGATTGCAACATGACGAACATCCGGCCTCGGGCCGAATTTTGATGGTGAATTGTTTTTTATAGTGCGTTTAGAGGAAGTTAGGTCATGAAGTATGCTGTCCCGTCGAACACACATTTTACTCTGCGTCAGGAGTTGGTCGGAGTCCTTTGCAAATACCAGGATACGCTCTGCCCTGCAGAGTTGCTTGCAGTCTCCAGCCAGGTTGTCGGCAACCTGATTGCCCTGCAGGACGAAACGCGATTGTCACCGGAGCATGCCATAGAAATTGTCATGTACAACATCGAGGAAGGCAATCGTGCGGCACTTGGCGATCTCGACCAGACCGACGCGGCCTGACGAAACGAACTCCGGAAAGCAGCTTTGCCGAGTGACAACCTCAGGCTCATGCCGGATCAGATGAGCGCGGGCTTGGCTTGGGCAGGCTACCGTTTCGAAGCTTCTTGGTTACGGAGTTTCGTTCAGGCTTGCCCGGTTCGGGGCACCATGCATGTCAGTCCGTGTCACCAGCTACTGACAGGTCGAAGATGTCAGGGCCGGCTTTTCGACAAGCTCCGATAGGTCTAAGTTCAAACGACCTGAAAACGTGACTTGCGTTTCATCCCAATTCCGGAGCTTTGGATGCCTCGTCGTACTGGTTTTTCTGTTTTTTTTGCCTTGATTGTGTGCCTGTTCCTAACCACGGCTCCGTTATCGGCAACGCCTGAGGAAACGCTGGAACACGTCGTCTCCGTCCTTCCTGTATGGCCCGGACACGAGCAAGGCGGACAAGGCGCGTCTCCCGGTACCGCGCCGGAAGGCAGTGGCGTGGTCGTGCGGCGCGGAGTAATCGCAACCGCCTTCCATGTCGTGGAACCTGCAGAGCGTGTCGATATTCGTCTTTCAGATGGAAGAGTATTGCCGGCTCGCCTGATCGCCGGCGATGCGGCAAGCGATATTGCGCTGTTGTCGGTCGAGACGGATCTGGTGCCGTTTGAAATCAGCCCTTCCCCGGGTTTGGCGCAGCCGGCCTGCGCGATCGGCAATGCATTCGGACTTGGACTATCCGTCACCTGCGGCGTCGTTTCAGCGGTCGGGGTCACGAATGCGGGCTTCAATGCGGTCGAGGATTTCGTTCAAACAGATGCCGCGGCGAACCCGGGCTCCTCTGGTGGCGCATTGGTCGACGCGCAGGGCCGGTTGATCGGCATGATGTCCGCCATTTTTGCGTCCGGAGCGGATGCGAATATCGGCGTGAATTTTGCCGTATCAGCCAAGTTGTTGATGCGTGTGACCGACGCCCTTCTTGCAGATGGCAAGGTCGAATACCTGTCTGCTGACTGGAGACTCGGCTCCGCGGACAACGCCCAACTTGCAAAGGTTGCCGCACCCGTTGTTGGAACGGTGCGCGCAGGTGGCAAGGCGCACGCCGCCGGTATCGAAACCGGTGACCTGATATTGGAGATCGGGTCCCGTCGAACACGCACACCACGCGACGCGCTCACGGCGCTCGCGCTTTTGCCACCACAAACAACCGTTGTGGATGTCAGGGTGCTGAGAGGCGGTGCGGAGAAGACTGTCAGTTTGTCGTTCGTTGAGCCGACCAGGCAGCCGGATTTGGATGTACAAAAAAATTCCGATCCGGATTGCCCCCATCCGTCTGCAGTCTGCGCGCTGCGCCAGGCTGTCTTTCCGGTGTCCAGTTTCGATCCGGTCGGCAGTGCGACCAGGATCGCGAGCGACCTGCTCGTCACCAACCGGCATGTGGTCGGGAACCGCAAGGATGCAACGGTTCATACTCCCGGCGGTCCGAAAACCGCCAAGGTCGTTCCGTCAGCCTTTCGCGGTGATCTTGTCCTTTTGAAGGTGGATGGATTGCCCGAAGACGGACAGATACTAGATCCGGCGTCGGCAAGACCGGCAGAAGGACCATACTACGCAATTGGTGCCGACATTGCGCGACGGGAAGTGCGTGTCTTCGAGCCCGGCGAACTTATTCTGGCGCCTGCGGAAGGAGCCGATCTCGGGCGGCTCCACGTGCGTGCCCGCATGCAACCCGGCGTCAGCGGTGGAGCTCTGGTCGACGGGGACGGAGACCTTGCAGGCATCGCAGTGGGTGGTGGAGACGGCAGGTACGAGGCCATACCCGTCTCGGCGATACAATTGCTCCTACAGCAGCGGGAAAGTCCCGAAGCCACCAGGATGACGAACCGGCTCGGGATCAATTTCGCCGCGTGTGCGACCGCCATCGATTCCGTTCTGGCAGGTGAACGGCAGGAGGAGGCGCTTGGACAGCTTTCCAAAACATGCAAAGCGTCGTCGAACCATGGCCAGCTCCTGGAAGCAGGACGCCTTCTGGCTCAAGCGGGGGACTTCGACGCCGCGATAAGCCTTCATGGACAAGCGTCTGATCAGGTGCCGAACTCCATCAATTCCCGGATGTCTCTTCTGGTTTCGCTCCAACTGGCGACCCGTTTTGAAGACATGACCGACCATGCCCGCTGGCTTCTCAATGCTGCGCCCGACGACCCGCAGGCGCTTCGGTTTTCCATTCAATCAGGTGTTTGGGGCGGCGATCCGGAACTGGCCGAAGCGGGATATCGGGCGTTGCTGAAGGCAGATCCGAGGCAAGCACAGGCGGCACGCCGTTTCATTGACAGTGCGCCGCCCGCGCCGCGGCGCAGGTAAGGCTCAATCTGTATCCGGGTCGGGAATCCATCCTGTCGCAACAGCGCCTTGCCGCTCAAACGGGGAAGGTGATGCGCGTTCGAGGATCCTTGCCTTGAGTTCCGGTACCGTAAGACCCGGGTCATCGGCAAGAATGCGCGCTGCCAGCGCGGCAAGTCGAGGCACCGCATAACTTGATCCCGATGTCACGCCGGTGGCGCCTCTGAAATCCGTCACCTCGATGTTTTCCGCAGGCAGCATGATGTCGACGCTTTTGCCACCCCAGTTGGAACCCGTCGCCAGTCTGCCGAAGGCATCTGCGGACGTGACCGTCAGGATGTTCTCAAGCTCCAGCCCCGCCGGGTAGACAGGGTCATTGTCGATGTCCCGTCCGTCATTGCCGGCGGAGACGATTGCCAGAATGTCCTTGTCTTTCAGCGCGTCTTCGAATGCTTTCCGATCGTCCGGGTTCCGGCTCCCGAGCGGCATGGCGATGATCTTTATCCCATGTTCGAGAGCGTGTTCGACCAGGTCGGTCAGTCTGCTCATGTCCGGCCGAGGATAGCGATAGGGGACGAGCGCGGCGTTCGGGGCCTCTCGTGCCAATATGGAGGCAACAGCCGTTCCGTGCCGTATCGGCAGAAATGGCCCGCGGGAAGTGTCTCCGTCATAAGGCCAGGGATCCATGTCCCAGAAATCAAATCCGATTGGCTGCCCGTCGTCGTCGCGCGCAAGGCGGCTCGCAAAGAGCGGCAGATCGTAGGCAAGTCCTGAATCGACGAGTGCGACCCTGACACCACCCGGGTCATCACCTTCCGGCCAGGGAGCCTGAAGTGTTTCTGCCCACCTCAGTGTTTCAAGGTCATCCTCGAGCTGATCGAGAAAGATCCAGGGGCCTTCTTCCTCGCGGATCTGGCGGGCAGAGCGAACCGTACAGCTGCCATCGGCAATCGCAAGAAGAGCCGGTCTGAGTTCATTGCCGTCGAACTTTGAATAGGAAGCGCGGAATTGACGAAGCATTCCGATGGCCAGGCGCGATTCAAGTGTCATCTCATCGCCTCCCGGCAATGCCAGTCGAAAGCTTGTTCTGACAGGCGCGGTCTCGTTTGGCTGGTAGCTTTCTTCAAGCAGCCAGCTGCCTGCAAGAGCGTTCTGTATCTGAAGACCGCTCATATCCGCCTTGCCGCAGACATGCGTGGTGGCTTGCCGGATCCAGTCCCTGGCACTGGACGGCGCCCCGGCTTGCGACGCCACATTGAAAAACAGCGTCAACAGCACACAAGGTACGGCGCGCGTGCAATATGTGAGAACGTATTCAAGAATGGGCACAAGCTCCCGCATTTTTCTGCGAAGACAATCGGATGATTTTCCTGGGTAGCAGACTAGTCGTTAGCGCGAACCAGTGCCAGATATCTCCGGATCAGGAAATTTCGATGATCCTCGGCGCAAGCGGTCAGCAGGGCCAGCGCCAATATGGCTCTGCGAAACCGGAGGAATCCAGCCACACTGTCTGTTTATTCCGGTGTCCGTTGCACCGACGCGGTGTTTTCGCGTGCGAGGGCCCGGATGGTTCGCTGCCTGTTTGCGCATGAACCTCGAGAAATCAATCGGCCGGACACATCGCCTCCGGAGCAGACCTGACCGCCTCGGCCAGATAATCACGCACCCAGCGATGCGATTTCGAGTTTTGTTTCCTCGGATGCCAGATCAGACTCATTGCGATTGGGTCGAGTTTGAAGGGTGGTTCGCACGTGGCAAACCCGACACCCAGCTCCCGAACGATGTTGCGTGGTGTCAACATGATCAGATCGGTGTTTCTCACAACTTCGAACGCCGAGACATAGTTGGACAGCGTCAGTCGCACTCTGCGGTTCAGGCCTGCGTTGCCGAATATTTTCTCGATGCGGTTCGCACGATGGACGGATATCGGCGCAACCCTCAGATGCTCGCATCGGGACAGAGCTGCCAGCGTGACCGGCTCCTCAAGCAATGGATGACCGTCCCGCATGAGATAATTGAAATCAGCTTCAAAAAGCCTTCTGATCTGCATGTTGTCCGGCGCCAGAAAATTCGGCAGGACCGTCAGGTCGAGAGACCCATTTTCCAATGAGTCGACGACTGTGTCGATCACCAGTGGAGCAACCGTTATCCTGACATTCGGAGCGTCGTTTTGAAGCTTCCGTATCAGACTTGGCAAGATGCTCGACAGCGCGAAGTCCGATGCCGAGATGCGAATTTCCATCTCCGCTATCTTTGGGTCAAAGGGAGTTTTCTCCGCTTCCAGCGTGTCGACCAAGTGCACGATTTCCCGCGCTTTTTTCAGCAAGTCGACGGCGGTATCTGTCGGGAGAAGGCCGTTGGATGCACGAACGAACAACGGGTCCTGAAACAGATCCCGCAAGCGCCGCAACGTTGTGCTCATGGCCGGTTGACTGACCCCCATGCGCCGGGCGGCCGATGTCACGCTTCTTTCTTCGTCAAGAACAATCAGTGTCTGGAGCAGGCGAATATCCAACATAATCAAAAATATATATTATTTATAAATTCTATCAATTTGATTTATGGATTTGCGCGTGTGAATTTTGCCCTGCGCGAATGACCTACGGATCTCCAACGGTATTCAAGAGGGAAAAAATGTTCAAAACATTCCAGAAACACATACTTGTCCTTGCCGTTCTGGCCGCAGGTCTCAGCACTGGTTCAGCTGCGGACAAATCTGAAAGGCTCGCTGGAAAACAGGTGGAAGGCTATCTGCAGGGCAACACGGTCTACATTGATGTCCTGCCCGGTGACGGTGCGTTCGGCAAAGGCGGTCTGTCTCCATTTTACTATGGTCACGATGGGACATTCGCCGCGGACCTTCCTGCTCGAAAGATTACCGGAACCTGGAAGCTTTCAGCCGACTCAAGCTACTGCATTGACGTTGTCGAGGCTGGAAGAACATTTTGCACGAATGTCTACAAGAAGGGCTCCGGCATCGAGCATCACAGCGTCGGTCTTGGTCGTCTCATGGGATCTGTTGTTCGAATTGTACCAGGCAATGATGCGGACCTGTGATCCCGGCGCCCTGCGTTTGCGTCGGTCGCCTCGCCCTGACGTGTTCAGCGGCAGTCGCTATGCAAGATCGCATTCGCGATGGTTACGTCATGCCGGCGGTGAGGCGCAGTGTGCAATCGAAGGAGCATTGACGGCTTCGCTGCGACCCGGAATGAATGTGCTTGATGTTGCATGCGGAACCGGCGATATGGCTCGCCGCCTGATGTCGGGAACCGATGGGAGTATCGAGTTCGTCCTGCTTGATGCCTCCAGAACCATGCTGGAAACCTGCGCAGACATTCCAGCGACCCGGGTGCTGGGATGCATGACAAATCTTCCGTTTGCGGAAAACAGCTTTGATCTTCTGACCTGTACTTGGGGCATCGAGACGATTTCCGAAACTCAGTCGGCATTGAGCGAGTTCGTGCGTGTGACCCGGTCCGGTGGATACATCTTTCTTGTCTATTGTGCTGACAGACCGACACGCTCCCTGTTCGGCATGGCCATGCGCCATCACATCGCACTCACCGGCCGCGGACAATTTCTGAGCCAGGAGGCACTCTGCGAGCAAGCCGCAGCAGCAAGGGTCAAACGAATGCAGCCGCTGTATTGCAACGGTCCCGCGGCCGCGATGATCCTGCACATCTGAACACCGGCCCAACTCCCGCGTCCGCAGGCTGCACACGGAAACACGGGCATGAGCACAGGACGACGCGGGGTCTGTTCTGGCGCCATGCCTGGTATTTCGGTCGGGCATCAATCGGAAAGGTGGCTGCTCACAAGGCTCACAGCGCGCCGTCGTTCTCCAATTCGGTCAACTCCGCTTCACTGAGACCGAGGTCAGTCCAGATTTCATTGTTGTGTTCGCCAAGAAGAGGCGGAGGATCGTCGACACGAGGGGCTTCTCCGTCCAGTTTGATCCCTGTCGTCGTCACGGAAATATCCCGGCCAACACCGGGCACGTCCTGGAACGTCTTCAGAAAACCACGATCTGCGACCTGTGGCATTTCCAGAACCTCCGGCACAGTCAACACCGCACCGGATGGAACACCTATCCTGTTGAGTTCCTTGGCCCAATCGCGCGCAGGCCGTGTTTTCAGAACTGTTTCAAGCTCGGCTTTCAAAGCCAGCCGGTTTCGCTTTCTGTCTTCACGCGTGGCGTATTGCGGTCGCTCGCGGAGCGCGCCCAGTCCCAGATGGTCCGTTAGCAAAATCCACTGCTCGTCCTTGTTTGCGGCAATATTGAGAAGTCCGTGTTCTGCTTCGAAGGCCCCGGAGGGCGAAGACGTCACGTTTTCATTTCCGTTGGCGGCCGGTTCAACGCCGGCATTCAGATAATTCGAAACCACCCATCCCATGGTGGCCAGCACCGATTCAAGCATGGAGACGTCGATGAAGCTACCTCTCGGCGAGGCGTTCAGAGCAGAGGCGACGGCAAATGCGGCAGTTATGCCTCCAACGGTATCGGCAACCGGATATCCGACGCGCAGGGGCGCACTTTCGCTGTCACCCGTGATCGACATGACGCCGGATGCACCCTGAATGATCTGGTCGTAAGCCGGCCGGTGGACCCAGGGTCCGTCCTGTCCGAACCCGGAGATCGCGCAATAGATCAGCTGAGGCTTTTCTTTCTTGAGCGTATTGTAATCGACGCCAAGCCGCTTCATCACTCCCGGTCGGAAGTTTTCAACCAACACGTCTGCGGTCTTCACCAGCTTGAGAAAGAGCTGCTTTCCCTTTGGATGCTTGAGATTGACCGTGACGGATTTCTTGCCGGCATTCTGCGCGAGGAAGGAAACGCCCATGCCCTTGTCGTTCAGGTCCGGATCAGCGCCCAGCCGACGCGCAAGATCGCCTCGACCGGTAGCCTCGACCTTGATGACCTCGGCACCGAGATGTGCCAGATGATGACAGCAAAAAGGGCCGGCAAGAACATTGGTCAGGTCAAGAACTCGAATGCCTGCAAGGGGTTTTGACACCTGGCGTTTCCTTTTGTTCGGTCCGGCTCAATCCCCGTCGGCCACGCCTTCTGCCCGGAGCCGCGCGCGCCGAGCCCGATATCCGGGCAACACCACCAGCATGACGGCCAGTATCAGCAATCCCAGCGTCATCGGACGTTCCCAGACGAAACCAATTCCGTCGTAAAGCTGCATTGCCCGCGAAAAGTTGTTCTCCAGCAGCGGGCCGAGAATGAACCCTATCAGGAGCGGCGCGAGAGGGTAGTCCGCAAAACGGAACAGTGTCGCACAGATCCCGAATCCGACCAGAAGCAGGAGTTCGGTCGCGTTGTTCTGTCCGATATAGGCACCCATCAGCGTAAAGAACAAAATGAACGGGATCAGGTAGTTGCGCGGAACCGCCAGGACCTTGGCGATATAGGGGATCAGCGGCAGGTTCAGGATGAGAAGCACCAGATTTCCGAGATACATGGAAATGATGACCGCCCAGAAGATTTGCGGTTCGTCCACCATCAGGCGTGGACCCGGGCTGACATTGAGCGCAATCAGCGCACCCAGCAGGATCGCGGTTGTTCCGGATCCAGGGATACCCAGGGTAAGAAGCGGAACGAAGGACCCTGTACAGGCTGCGTTGTTCGCGCTCTCCGGTGCGGCAATGCCCTTGACGGAGCCTTTTCCGAATTCTTCCTGTTCTTCCTTGGATGCGATGTTGCGCTCGACCGCGTAACCCAGAAACGAGGCGATTGTTGCGCCGGCGCCAGGAAGAACCCCGATGAAGAACCCCTGGAGCGACTGGCGCCCGATGACCGGTGTAATCTTGCGTGCCTCTTCCCTGGTTATGCGCAAATTCTTGATCTTGCCACTGTCGCTGCCATCCCCGGTCTTGGACCGTCCCGGATCAAGCACGAGGAAGATGGCTTCCGGCAATGCGAACATCGCCATGGCCAGCGTAATGAAACCAAAACCGGATTGAAGGTCCATGACCCCCATCGTGAAGCGTGGCGCGTTGAAGAGCACACCTTCCCCGACAGTCGCCATCATCAATCCGAGGAATGTCATCAGGAGAGCCTTGCTGACCTGGCCCGTCCCGGCAAATGCGGCGATCGCCGACAAGCCTACGACCATCAGTGCAAAATACTCGGAAGAATGAAACAGCAGTGCGACCGACGCCAGCGCCGGCGCGAAGACCATGAGCAGGATGGCACCGATGGTGCCTCCTGAAAACGACGCGATCGCAGCTACGGTCAGCGCCTTGCCAGCCTGACCTTTTCGTGCCAGCGGATATCCGTCGAAAGACGTTGCCACCGTCGAGGCGACGCCGGGCGCATTGATGAGAATGGACGAAGTCGACCCGCCGAAGACCGCGCCGTAGTAAACTCCGGCCAGCAGGATCAGGGCGGCCGACGGGTCACCGATCGTGATGGCGACCGGGATCATGATGGCGATGATCGACATCGGGCCGAGACCCGGCAGCATGCCGATGAACGTGCCGATCAGGCAGCCTCCGATTACCATCATGATGTTGGTAAAGGTGAAGGCCGTCGAAAGGCCTGCCAGAAGTCCTTCAAGCATCTCAGCCTCCACTCAAAAACATCGGGAACGGGCTCAGGAATATTCCAAGCACCACGTCCACCAGATACCAGACCGTGCCGGCAGCGATTGCCGCAACGAGGATCATCAAACCGAAGCGGCGCTCACCGAGAATGAAACTGCCGACGCTCAGAAACAGAAAGGTCGCCGCAAGAAAACCGATAGGACGAAGCAGAAGCGCATACGCCACCATCAGGACCAGGAGCAGAACCGCCTGGCCGACCTTGTATTCGTGCAAACGCGACAGGTTGATATCCGCCGCGTCCGACTTGTCGGGAGATTTTTCCAGGCCCAGCAAGATGCTCAGCGACAGCAGAATGGCTCCGATAACCAAGACTTTCGGAAAGCTTGATGGCCAGATTGGACTGCGTTTCATGATCGGCGGTAAAAGCGCGTCCATGGTGAAGTAAGCTGCGTAGCCATAGGCCAGGCAGATCAGCAAGATGACCAATGCCAGCCAGCGATCGAGCGCCATCGTTCCCCCCGTAGTTTTCATGGGTGATACGTTCGGGCGAGCCCGAACGTATCTTTCTTGTCAGCGTTGCCGGTCGTGGCTCAAAGGAAGCCCAGCTTTTTCATGAGATCGCCGATGGTCTGTTCCTGACCTTCCAGGAACACGCGGAAGTCGTCGCCGGGATTGTGGATGTTCACCCAGCCGTTGCGTGCCCGGACTTCTTCCCATTCAGGGGTGTCGTACATCTTTGCGATCGCAGCCTGGTATGCGGCCAGTTTATCTGCCGGCAAACCGGGTGCGGCAAAGAACCCGCGCCAGTTGACGAATGTCGTGTCGTTTCCTTGCTCGACCATGGTTGCGGCATCCGGATAGGCATCGACGCGCTCCGGCGCCGTGACACCGATGATGCGGACTTCACCGGCCTTTGCCAGTTCTACGGCCTCGGAAAAGCCGGTCGAAACAGCCTGGACTTCGCCGGACAGCAAGCCGGCCATCGTTTTGCCACCACCATCATAGGGGACATATTTCATAGCGACCGGATCAGCGCCGGCTGCCTGAAACACCATGGCAGCAACCAGATGGTCCATTCCGCCCGGAACCGAACCTCCGCCGATCGCGGTTCCCGCAGGATCAGCTTTGAAGGCGTCGATGAGACCGTTGACGTCCTTGACCGAACTGTCGGCGGGCACAACGAGAGCGGCATAGTCGCCAATCGTGCCGGCGACCAGTGTCAGGTCACGGAAGTTTTGCGGAAACACACCCGTGAGTGAGCGGATCACGATGGGTGTCGAATTGACCATGAGCGTGCCATGGTTGCTGTCTGCGTTTTCGATCAGGTACCCGATGGCCTTACCGCCGCCGCCGCCTGACATGTTCTCGTATGACGCGGAGCCAACGAGACCAGCCTTGGTCAGGGCTTCGCCCGTTCCGCGCGCTGTACCGTCCCAGCCGCCGCCAGCACCACCCGGAATCAGGAAGTGAATGCTGTCAACTGCTTCTTCGGCAAATGATGGCGTTGCAAATGAAAGGGATGCGGCAGCCGCCGCCAATACGACCCGACGGGTCATCTTTATAAGTGTCATGTTTTCCTCCCGGACACGCCGGGGCTTCACGAGCCCCTTGCAAACACCAAAAGTATTGGGAAAGCTGACACGAACCTGTCACGTCACAAAAAAAATGGGAAAATGGCCGAATAAATGCGATTCCTGCTGATCGAGGACAATGAAAAACTGGCTGCAGCCATCGTTGAACGGTTGGGGCTTGACGGGCATGTCGTTGACCACGCGCCGGATCTGGAGACAGCAGCGGACTGTTTGGCGGGCACCGGATACGAACTCATACTGCTTGACATTATGCTGCCGGATGGCGATGGGCGAAACTTTCTGGAATGGCACCGGACCTGCGACAACGACACACCCGTGATCGTGCTGACGGCGCGTTCCGAAGTTTCCGACCGCGTCCGTATGCTTGACCTTGGCGCTGACGACTACATCACCAAGCCGTTTGACTTTTCAGAGCTGGAAGCCCGGTGCAGGGCCGTCCTGCGACGGCGACAGGGTGCCGCCCGCAACCAGAAAACCTATGAGGACGTGGTCTTCGATCCACTTGCCGGAACCGTCGCCGTTGCCGGCAGTGTTTTCGAATTGAGGAACCGCGAGTTGCGTCTGCTGGAAGTATTCTTTTCCGCCCCCGACATGATCTTTTCGAAGTCTCACCTGGTCGACAGGCTGTTTTCCTACGACGAGGAAGTTTCGGAAAATGCGATTGAGGTCTATGTCGGACGCGTCCGGAAAAAGCTGCAGGGGGGACGCGTCAGAATCGAGACGGTGCGCGGGGTCGGCTACCGGATGACCGCCACATGACCGTTGTACACGCACGAGGGTCACTGAGGCGCAGGCTTTTGCTACAGCTGCTGCTGGTCGCCGCAATCCTGTCATTTGCGCTCTATTTCACTGTGCGCGTGCTCGCCCAGCAAGCGGCCGAGACCACCCAGGACAATATCCTGATCGCGTCGGCAACGGCGATTTCCGAAGCTGCCAGGGCAGAACGTGGACAGATTCTGGTCGACGTCCCCTATTCGGCACTTTCCATGCTTGGTTCGATCGCGGAGGAACGCGTTTTCTATCGGGTTACCGCCGATGATCTCACGGTCACCGGGTACGATGATCTGCCGGCACCAGCCAGCGTCGCCGAGACCGGAAAGCCCGTATTTGCAACGGCAATCTACCGGGATGACGAAGTGCGGATCGCCGCGTTGCCGCGGCGACTGACCGTCGGGGACGAGACCGTGATCCTGACGGTACTCGTCGCGCAGACACGCCTTGGCCTCGCCGCCGTTTCGCTGCAGATCTCCATTGCTGCGGCCGCTGCCGGCATCGGCTTCTTCCTGTTGTCCGGTGCACTCAGCTGGTTTGCCACCAACAATGCAATGCGTCCGCTCAATCGATTGGCACAATCTGTCGAGCGGCGTGGCCCTCAGGACCTGAGCCCGGTGGCGACATCAGCTCCGACGGAACTCGTGCCGCTGCTTCAGTCACTCAACACCTTCATGGCCAGGCTGAGCGCTTCGCTGGCACGAACGGAGGATTTCATAGCTGAAGCCGCCCATCACGTCCGTACCCCGCTGGCGACCGTCAGAACCCAATCGGAAATTGCCCTGCGCAGCGTGCGAAAACCGGAAAACAAGCAGATCCTGCGCGAGGTGATCCGCGCGGCAGACGAAAGTTCGCGCTCTGCCGGACAGCTGCTCGATCATGCGATGGTTGCCCTGCGCTCCGACAATCTGGAGAAAGAACAATTGAACATGAAGGATCTCGCGCAAGACGTGATCCGGTCGATCAGCCCGACGGCGGATCTCAAGGATATCCGCATAACCTGCTCCGGATCCGACACGACGAGCGCGGTCGAGGGCGACCCGATCCTGTTGCAGAACGCGCTGCGCAATCTTCTGGACAATGCGGTCAAATACTCGCCGGAGGACAGCCGGATAAAGGTGGAAATATCCGAAGACGCTTCAACTGTCAGGATCGATGTCCTTGATGAGGGGAGGGGTCTGGGAGACGGTGATCGCAGCCGCTTGACGGAACGCTTCGGCAGGGGCGACAACGTGCGCGATATTATCGGATCGGGGCTGGGGCTGACAATCGTGGAGGAGGTCGTGAACGCTCATGGCGGGTCACTTGCGTTGACCGACAATCCGGAAAGGAGGGGAACATGCGCGTCTCTTACATTGCCCTCGGCCTGATCGGATGGATCTGGGTCCAGATGACGTCCGCCCACGGTTTTGTGGCCGAAGAGGAACGCCTCTTTGAAGTCGATCGTCCGGCGGCGACACTGAACATTCTGTCAACCGCGGACCTCAGTGTTTTTGCGCCGTTGGTCGAAGCCTTCCAGGCCCGCAATCCTACTGTTGAAGTACACTATGTGACCGCGTCGAGCAGCGAACTCATGAAAGCTCTTTATGAAGAGGACGCGGAGTTCGACATTGCAATTTCATCTGCCATGGATCTTCAGACAAAGCTCGTGAATGACGGGTTCGCAGAGCGTTATGTTTCAACGGAAACCGCGTCGCTGCCGGATTGGGCGAAGTGGCGAGATCGCCTTTACGCCTTCACACAGGAACCGGCGGTCCTTGTGTACTCGAAGATTGCGTTCGAAGGTCTTCCACAGCCGACAAATCGCGATGAACTTATCGCCCTGCTGCGCGAAAACCCGGACCGTTTCCAGGGCAGGGTAGGTACCTATGACATCCGGGAAAGCGGCGCCGGCTATCTGTTCGCAACGCAGGATTCGCGCCAGTCCGAGTCGCTCTGGCGCATGGCAGAAGTAATGGGCCGGCTCGACGCCCGGCTCTATTGCTGTTCCAGCCGGATGATCCGTGATGTGGTCGAGGGGCGATTGGCGCTCGCCTACAATGTTCTTGGAAGCTATGCAGCTGCGCACCTTGCCGACAACACGGATCTGGGCATTCTTCAGTTCAGTGATTTCACGACCGTGATGTTGCGCACCGTGCTGATACCCAAGACAGCCGGAAATCTCGATCTGGCCGGACAATTCGTCGATTTCCTGGTGTCGGAAGACAACCGCGACCTGATTGAGGATCTGACCGGGCTACCGGCCATTGATCCGGGTGTCCTGCAACGCGAGGCCGCCTTCCGTCCGATACGGCTTGGTCCGGGATTGCTGGTGTATCTGGACCAGTTGAAACGGCGAACCTTCATACGGGCGTGGCTCAACGCCATGGTTCAGCCCTAGGGGCGCCTAGGCGGTCAGGGGCTCCTGAGAAACAAGAACGCCATCCTCGTCGCAGTAGATGTATTTTCCCGGTTCAAAGAGAACGCCGCCAAAGGCAACCGGCACATCGATTGCTCCACTTCCCGTCTTGCCCGAGCGTATCGGGCTGGTTCCGAGAGCCTTCACGCCAAGGTCCAGATCGGCGAGGCGGCGGACGTCCCGCACTGCACCGTTGACGACAATGCCCGCCCAACCGTTCGCGATCAGTCGTTCAGCCATCCTGTCACCCAGCAATGCGGTACGAAGTGAACCTCCTCCGTCCAGCACGATGACATCGCCATTGCCTTTTGACGAAAAGAGCGTTTCTTGCACAAGTTTTGTGTCCTCGACCATGACCGCGGTTCGTAGTCTTCCGGCAAATCGCCTCTTCGCTCCGAAGTCACGAAAAGACAAATGCACGAAGTGGACCTTGCCGGGATTGGCATCGTTCAGGTCACAGGTTGAAAACCCGGTCAGATTGCCGGCCAAACTGTTGCTCATGACGCGTCCTCCAGATACTCGGCAGGATAAAGGACGGCACCTTCCATGATCCGCCGCTGTGTCCGGTAGGTTCCGGCGGTCACGGCTTCCGGACCCTGGTCACCGGTGCGCACGTCAGCTGTCACGGTCAACACACCTGAAGGCGTGCCAATTCTCAGGTCGGGTCCGGCTGCGCTCGAGGCTTCCTGCAGCAGTGACCCCTGTATCTGCGACGCAACCGCCGTACACATGCCGCCGGTCAGTGTGATTGCCCGATGAAAGTTGCCCATGGACACCAGCCGTACATTCAGGTCATGGGTTTCGGGCCCGTGCGTTTCGCCGTCAAGAGAGGTGAACGTTTGCGCGGCACCGACGAGGGCGACCTTGGGGGTCGAACGCTTTACGTCGCCGGTGGTATCTGCCATCCCCATCGCGACTGCACCCGCGCAGCGAATTTTCTCGAGCAGGCCCATGAGAACGGCATCGCCGTCAAGGGTTTCGGGACGCTCTGTCGCTGTTTTTCCCAGATCCGTCGCCCGGACATAGACAACAGGGTTTGCCGCATCAATCAGCGACACCGTGACAGGTCCGACCCCATCCACCCTCAGGTCGTCGATCGGCCGGCCGCTGGGCAGCAGTTTTCCGGTCGCCGCACCGCCCGGCGCAAGAAAGTCGAGCACGACGGGTGCACCTGTGCCCGAAACGCCTGGTATCCGGACCTCTCCCTGCTCGACAGGTCTGCTATCCAGAACCGGAAAACCGGCGTGATAGAGCCGGTCGGTATTGGTGTCATAGATCCGCACAAGCGCTTCGGTCTGTCCAGGCTGCAGGCTGATCATGCCTTCTTCGACGGCAAAAGGCCCGACGCAGGAGGCCATGTTCCCGCACGCCGATCCGTAATCGGTCAGCGGTTCATCGACTGCGATCTGGACAAAGGTGTAATCGACATCGGCATCCTCGCGGTCCGAAGGCCTGACGATGACAACCTTGGACAGCGAGGACAGGCCGCCACCCATGCCGTTCAGCTGGCGGCCGTAGGCGTCGGGACTGCCCAAGACATGAAGGAAAATCCGGTCGCAAATCGCACGGTCGTCCGGCAGGTCCTTGCCGTTGAATACGACCGCCTTGGATGTTCCTCCGCGATAGAAGGCAGCCCGCAACCGCTTCTGCATCATGCCGCTCCTGCAAGGAATTTTCGGAATGCGCGCGGCAACAGGCCGCCGGCAGCGAATGTGTCCCGCTCGCCATCATTGTAAAGGCGAAGGTCAAGAGGTGTCATGTCGTAGCTGCCGTCCTTGCGATGCACTGTCAGCCTGGCTCCCAGCAGATCCTCGTCAATATCTATATCGTATGTCTCACTTCCGTCGAGGCGCAGCGTCCGGCGCGTGACGCCCTTGGGAAAGCAGAGCGGAGCGATGCCCATGTTCACAAGGTTCGAGCGATGGATCCGCTCGAAGCTCTCCACAATGACTGCGCGGACGCCGGCGAGCCAGGGCGCCTTGGCCGCCGTATCTCTTGAAGAACCGCAACCATATTCCTTGCCGCCAATCACAACGAGTTTCTGGTCCCTGTCGAGATAGGTCTCAATTGCCTTGAAAACGGAAGTGATCTCACCCTCCGGCTCGATCCTGGTCCAGGAACCCTCGTTGTCCGGGGTCATCTCGTTGCGCAGTCTGTAGTTCGCATAGGTGGAGCGGACGACAACGTCGGAGCAGCCGCGCCGCGTCCCGAAGGAATTGAAATCCCTTGGCTCGACACCTTGTTGCTGAAGATACCTGCCGGCCTCCGACTCCGGCGTGATGATGCCCGAAGGAGAAATGTGATCGGTCGTGACGCTATCCCCCAGGATGACCAGAGGGCGCAGGCCCTTGAGTGGCCCAACAGGTCCGGCGACCTTGTCGATCTTTCGGACGAAAGGTGGGAACGACACGTAGTTCGAGGGCACCCACTCGTAAGTGCCCGCATCTGCTGCCAGATCATTCCAGTGCACATTTACATCGTTGATTGCGGCATAGTTTCTGCTGAATTCTGTCGGAGTTACGAATTTTTCGACAATCTCTGTCACTTCATCTGCCGACGGCCACAAATCCGACAGCATTACCGGATCGCCGTCATGGTCGTATCCGAGTGGTTCGCAGGTGATGTCCTTCAGGATCGTGCCTGTCAATGCATAGGCAACTACGAGGGGAGGCGAAGCTATCATGTTGCGCGACGCGAGCGGGTGAATGCGTCCCGCAAAATTCCGGTTTCCGGACAGCACTGCGATGCCCTTGACATCATCGGCCTTGATCGTTGCCTCATGTGCAGGATGCAAAGGTCCCGACATGCCGTTGCAGGTCGAGCAGGAAAACGCCGCGATTTCAAAGCCGAGCGCGTCAAGCGGGTCTTGCAGACCGCTTTCCTCCAGATAGCTCGCCACAACTCTTGATCCGGGAGCGAGAGACGTCTTGACATGAGGTGGGACCTTCAAGCCCCGTGCGACCGCATTTCGGGCCATCAGGCCGGCGGCCACCATGTTGCGGGGATTGGCGGTATTCGTGCAGCTGGTGATCGCGGCAATGATCACATCGCCATCGCCGATGTCATGTGACGTGCCCAGAACCGGTACCCTGCGCTCCGTTTCTCCCTTGAGTTTCAACCGCTCGCTGGCATCCGCCAGGTCGATCCGCTGTTCGGGACGAGACGGCCCGGACACCGAACGCCCGATCCGGCCGAGGTCAAGACCGACGACCTCATCATACTCCACATTCGTGTCGGAGCCATCGACCCACAGATCCTGTGCCTTGCTGTAGATCTCGGTGAGGTTCGCACTCCTGCCGCGTCCGGTGTCACGAAGATAGCCGATTGTCCGCTCGTCGACCGGGCAGAAAACCATTGTTGATCCATATTCGGGAGCCATGTTTGCGATTGTCGCCCGGTCCGCGACGCTCAACGTGCGATAGCCTGGCCCGAACAGTTCAACAAATGTGTCCACTACGCCAACTGCGCGCAGTTTCTCTGCAATGACAAGTGCGATGTCGGTCGCCATGATTTCATCAGAAGGGGCGCCTGTAAGTTCCAGTCCGATGACACGGGGCACGTTGACAGGCGTTGTTTCTCCGAACAGGACTGCTTCTGCCTCGAGGCCACCGACGCCCCAGCCCATGATGCCGAGCGCATTGATCATGGGTGTATGGCTGTCAGTCCCGAGGCAGGAGTCGGGCACAAGCAGATTGTCATCCTCGTGGGATGGCAGAACGGTCTGTCCCAGGAACTCAAGGTTGACCTGATGGCAGATTCCACCACCCGGAGGAATGACCCGCAGGCGCGGGAACCGGGTTTCGCATGCCTTCAGAAATTCGAACCGTTCACGATTGACCTCGAATTCGCGATCCATGTTCTTTTGAAGTGCAAACCTGTCCGCCCAGTGGTTGATCGACATGGAATGATCGATCACGAGGTCCACCGGTAGGCTCATATCGACACTGAGCGGGTCGCGCCCTTGTTCTTCCAGAAGGTTCCGCATCGCCATTATGTCGATCAGGGCCGGAATCCCGAGCATGTCGTGCAACAAAAGGCGCGCAGGACGAAACGGAACGGCATCTCCCTCGCGCGCCAGAACATCCAGCGCCGCTTCACCGCCTTCGGAATGGCGCGCCGCGTTCTCCGCCAGCAGGCGCAGGGAATGCGGCAGGCTGCGATACCCGTCGCCGATGACCGAGCGATAATCGGTTGCCGAAAATTTGGAATTGGGGATGATCTTGAATGTCACTTAGCCTCTCCTGAACTACCGGCAAGCTAGACAGGGTTCCGGTATTGCTGCAAGGTGCTCCTTGTTGCGTTTCATCTGGCAGAACGAGAATGGCCACCAACCGCACTGAATCCGTCGAACGCGCCATGTCGATCCTGAGTGCCTTTTCGACGCAAAAGCCGATTATGTCGCTGGCGGAACTCGCGGAGGAGACAGGCCTCCACAAGAGCACGATCCTGCGGTTGACCAATTCGATGCGCATTTATGGTTTCATTCAGCGAGACGAAGACGGCAGGTTCAGCGTCGGTCCAAGTGTCTGGCGTCTTGCTCTGATCTTCCGGCGAGACTTCACCAAGCGAGAACATGTGGCACCCGCGCTCAGGATACTCGCCGAAGCGACAGGTGAGACTGCGTCTTTCTATGTGCGAGCAGGCAATGAACGTGTCTGTTTGTACAGGGAAAATTCACCAAATTTGCTGCGCTTTCATGTCGAGGAGGGTATGCGTCTTCGGCTTTCAACGGGGGCATCCGGTTTGGTTCTACGCCGATACTCCGGAGAAGACATGGACGACTTCAGCAGCTTCAATGAAAACGGAACCGCAAGCTCTGTCGGGCAAACGAATCCCAACATCTCTTCCATATCGACGCCTGTTTTCAGCGCGGCCGGTGAACTTGTCGGTGCGCTTACGGTATCAGGCCTCGCAACGCGGTTTGACGAGGAAGCGCGCGCACGCGCGATCCCGCTGCTGGAGAGACTTGCTCATGGCCTGACCACGACATAGTCACGCAATTTTGCCTGATAGAACGTTCCTGGCTGCAGCTTGCCAATCCGGTGAACGGGTATTACGCACATTGCAATTGCAGGATCCCGGAGAACGCAGCCATGATGAACCATGAAATCAACAAGGCGTTTCGCATGCGCCTCGATCAGGGCGGCGCCATTCTGATGCCGGGCGCTGCCAATGCGCTGGCGGCACGTGTCATTGACCAGCTGGGCTTCGAGGCAGTCTATATTTCAGGTGCCGGGTTGACCAACACATATCTCGGCATGCCGGACCTGGGGTTCGTTTCGCTTCCGGAGATTGCGCAGCACACCTCGACGATCCGCAACGCGACCCAGCTGCCCATTGTTGTCGATGCGGACACCGGCTTTGGAAATGCCCTCAACGTCCATCACACGGTTCGTACGCTCGAACGGGCAGGCGCAAGCGCAATTCAGCTTGAAGACCAGGTCAACCCGAAACGCTGCGGCCATTTTTCCGGAAAGGATGTTGTGGATCTGGAAGAAGCGCGCAGCCGCATAAAGGCGGCCGCTGACGCCCGTATCGACCCCAATTTCATGATCGTTGCGCGCACCGATGCGTGCGCGGTGCACGGTTTTGACGCTGCCATCGAAAGAGCGGAAGCCTTCATCGAAGACGGCGCGGACGTCACCTTCATCGAAGCGCCGCACAATCTGGAAAACATTCGGGAGATACCGGCGCGGCTTGCAGGCACGCCGCAGTTGATCAATCTGGTCGTCGGCGGCAAGACACCGATCATCGACTTTTCGGAACTCGATGGAATGGGTTACGCCCTTGTGCTCTACGCCAATGTCGCGCTTCAGGGGGCCCTGAAGGGTATGCATGACGCGCTGTCCCTTCTGAAAAGCGATGGGCGCATGGATGAAGACGGACCGGTCGCGAGCTTCGAAATCCGCCAGAACGCGGTTCACAAGAGCTTCTATGACGATCTCGAAAAAAACTATTCTTCGAAGTAGCAGTCCAGGACCATGTCTGACTGGTCCCGTCCCCTGTTCGTGGTTCCGCCTTCATTGAAAGATGACGAACATCAGTCGTAGTCGGCCAACATTCATTTGCATCGGATGACGGGCAGAAGCCTCTTCGATCTCAGGTCTCGCGTATCGTCTCGGGGCTGAGAGCGGCAATCTACATCTGCGGTCCTGAAGACTGATCCCGTCGAGAAAAGACAAAGTTTGGACTTGGGCGTTGGACGCATCTGGATTGCGCGTGAGATGATAAACTGAAGTCAAAACCGATCAAACATGTAAAATTTCGTTACGTTCAAAAACAAATGCGTAAAGAAAAATTACAGTAATTATTTTATTTTATTATATTGATCATTATTTTTGCTTTCCTGAAGCATGTATTATAATTTCGTGTCTGTGTCTTGCGGTATTTGTTCTTTTGTTGAAGCAGCAAGTGCCCCGTGAAGAACCCGGATTACGAGTGCGTGAAAATGTACGCAATATTTCAACACAGGCAATTTTGGGCAAAGTCATGAGAGTGGCCTCGACTGGCGAGTTGCCAGCAATTGCCAGACAACAAGCGAGCTTCGTACCGCTAGTTGGGCTCATTGCTCTCGGCGTGAGGAAGTTGCCCCCAGATTGCCGAAATATCTTCGCGCATGTGTTTGTGAACGGCGCTCATGAGAGTGTCGCGCGTCTCTTCAGGAAGAGCGGAGAGCGCTTTTTGTATCTCGTCGACTGTCTCCGCATCGACAGTCGTGCCGGCTGCTTCAATTTTGGAAATCAACGGATGACCGGCGCCAAGGATGTCCCGGCCAACGCTCGCTACGGCCGTAATGAACTGTCTGGTTGCTGTTTGCTGCATGATTTCTGTCCTCCGATCCGATCTCACTCGACGCGCCAAATGTAGGAAAGCCAAATGTCAGGTCAATCTCAGAAAATCGGGGACCTTCTTCGCCAGCGGCTTCACATTGTGCAGGAATTGTCGGCCGCCAACGCTGAACATCATCGTCTTTTGCAGGTCTCCGGGGGCGCTGATTTTCTGTCCCTCTTGTCAGCGACGGATCTGGAAGAGGTCGTCGATCAAAGGCCTGCGACCCCCGATCTGGAAGCGAATGCTACTCGCCTGAGTGAGCTGGAGGCGGAGTTGGAGCAGGTCGATAAATTGCTCGAAGAAACAAAAACAAAGGGGAAACATCATGAATGAGCAAAGTTCCAGAGGACTTTCAGCATTTGAACTGCTGGCCATGTCCTGGTCCTTTGACGAAGAGCCGGTTCATTCGATCTTTAGCCAAGACGGTAGCTTTGCTGCATTCCTGTTGACATCCGGCAATCTGGCGGTCGTCCGGACGTCGGACGCTGAGTCGCCGGCCCGGCGGACCGTGATCGACAAGGAGAGTGGCCGAACGACGATCCGGCCGCGAAAAGTCGACCCGATACCGGCATCAATTCTGGATGTGTCTGCGCTGACGCACCTGCCAATTGCGCGCTTCGGCGCCCAGGGTTTTGCGATCGCATGCAAAGACGGCACGATACGACAGGCAACGGCCCGCGGACTTGTAATTGAACGTGTGTCGTCTGGAAGCGGGCCCATTTGCGCATTCAACGGTGATCCCTCGGGCGAGCACCTGGTCTTTGCCCGCGAGAACGAAGTCTTCGTCACCGGCACCGGGAACGATGCCCAACTGGTTTCGTTGAAACTGGATCACCAGGTTACCTGCCTTTCCGGCATCGCCGGGGATGGGAAAATCGCGGCGTGGGGAGAAGGCTCGATTTCGATCCTGGAGCGTTCAAGAGACTTGAAACTACAGTGGAGCGCTGACTGCGTTGGCGAAATTTTGTCGATGAACTGGAATTCGCAATCCACTCAAGTGGCTTGCGGATGTGCAGAAAAAGCGATGCTGGTGATTAATTGCGTCAGCAGGACGGTGAAGAAAATTGGCAATTTTCCGAGAGAGGTTCGCAACGCCGACTTTAACGACGCCGGAGGTGCCCTCGTCGCATCGGGAGCCTTCCGTCTTGTCGGATGGAAAGTGTCTGATTTGCCGGAAAACGACCATCCGGGATCTCCGTTGTCATCGGGAAAACCTGGTTTCGTGGTGCTGGAAGCCATTGCTTCACACCCAACAAGAAATCTGGTCGCGGCCGGATATGAAAACGGAATGATCGCGCTGACCTCCATTGGAGATCCAGACGAACTTCTGCTGAGGAATGCGTCAAACGAGGCAATAACCACAATGAGTTGGTCGCCGGATGGAGAAAACCTATCCGTCGGCGACAAGGCTGGGGAAAGCAGCATCGTCGCCTTTCCCGAACAGATGTTCAAATAAGGACGTAGGAGGAAGAAAATGCAGGACGTGAAACCAAAGCTGACACCCGAAGAAGAAAGCAAGGACGAGTTCTTCAGGCGGGTGTCGGAAATTTCCGAAGAAATGATTGAAGAACACGGCAAGGACTTCGCCATGGGTACGTTGGTGATGGCTGCTCAATGGATTGCACGCGGCGAAGTTAAGGGTAGCGACACAAGTCGCCACTAGCTCTCTCGTTGACCTGACAATCCGAATGGATCTCTTGCAACTGTTCGGCGCCAGTGTTCCACGGTGATTTCGCTGATTGCTGCGGCCGAGATGGCAAGAGACTGGTTTAGGCCTGGCTGCGGCTGTTGTTTGCTGATGTATTTCAGATCTTTCGACAGCCGCTCCTGCAAAACATTTGAATAGGCGCACATCTCGTGAAGACGCAGCGTCACGAATTCAAGACAGTCATGGGTATCCCTGAATTGCCCGTTTTCAGTCGCGGCACCATCGGAGCGTGAGTGCCTGAGGAACGACGTATGGGCGGCTGTACCCAAGATCGCCAGCGTGTCACGACGCCAGTCGGAATAGTCTCCCTGCTTGCCGAAATCCAGGCCGACTTCATACAACCGGTCTGCAACGACACGAAACGCCCGGCCTCCTGAAATATGACGGCGCCAGAACTCGTTTGCTTCTTCTGTTGTACGGCACGCCGTAAAGCGTTGTGCAAGTTTGCGGCGGATCAGAAATGCCAATGCCATGTCGGCATCTTCCGAAATTGAACGTGCGATCTGCATCGATGGAATCGGCAAGTCCGACAGAAACAGCATCCGGACAGCGTCGAGCTGTTCCATCAGTCGATAGGTGACTACCTGCAGGCTTGACCATTGAGCCCGATCAAGCTGCACATCCTGCAGTGAAGCAACACAGTTGGCTGCAGAGTGAAGCGAGGCCACCCAGATGATCGCCTGATCGAACAGGAAAAACGCATCCATCGGGGCACTGCTGTCTTCTTCTTCCGGAAAATCGGCGGCCCGGAACCCCCGCAAGGATCCGACTGTCCGAAGCCAGGTGCTTTCCAGATCCAATCCCCTTGCAGACCACAGCTGCTGGGTGTGTGCGATCAACTGGGGCGATGCACCGCGATAGCAGCCTGCAAAAGATATCCTATCAAGCTTCATTTCTTCCTTTCCCCGGGCATCGACGACGAGGGGGCTTGGTGCAGGTCGAGAAGGCGAAAGCAGGTTCGATAACCGGCCTGCGACCGGGTTCAGATATTTCTACGATGTTCTGGTCTGAAGACAATCAAAAACCAAGTACGGTTGCCAACATTTCTGATCGGCGCAAGAAATGTATCAGTTGGCGCGGACAACTATGTAAAGAGACGTAAAGTTTCATAACACTTTTACAATGTCAGAATTTCCCAGTCGACGGCCGGAGGTCTCGAATTAGTTTTCCGGAAATATTTCTTCAAATAATTTTCGTTTAAAAAACAGTCTCTTATGTGTTTCGAGAGATTAATTTTTCTTGATTTCTTCGATTGGTTCCAAAACTGGAATCATCCTTGCAATTCCTCAAGCACAAAACAGCGCCTTGTCTAGCAAGGTGCACCAAGAACGAAGGAATTGGGAGGTTAAGCACCGGACGGCCAGCAGCCGGCAGTCATGGTGCAATTCCAGGAGACACGCGTTGCAGCGTGAATCTGCTCAACCTTTGCCGTCATTCGTCTGATCCCATGCAGTGGGGGAGTGCCTGCTCCTGCTACCTGCATGTTTCGGGTCCGACAGTCAGGCAGCTGTCTGCTGCCATCCATGAACCGGTTCGCCGGTACGAGCTGAGGAGGCTCCAGGAATGGCAATAACGTTGAACAAGATCACCTCTCAACGAGGCATCTCGGTGGGTGAGGCCACCAAGAAAATATCTGACCTTGGTTGGAATCCTACCTATGTGCAGGAAGCCTCGACATTTCCGACCGACTACAAGATCACCAAGGCCCCGCGCGATCCGATGAAGCAGGTGCTTCGTTCCTACTTCCCGATGGAAGAGGAAAAGGACAATCGTGTCTACGGTGCCCTGGATGCCGCTTTGCGCGGCGACATGTTCCGAAATGTGGAGCCGCGCTGGATCGAGTGGATGAAGCTCTTCCTTGCGATTATTCCCTTTCCGGAAATCTCCGCCGCACGGTCCATGGCAATGGTTGCCCGCCTGGCACCGGGCGAGGACCTTCGTACCGGCTTCACCATGCAGATGGTCGACGAGTTCCGTCACTCCACGATTCAGATGAATCTGAAAAAGTGGTACATGGAAAATTACATCGATCCTGCCGGATTCGATATCACCGAAGAAGCCTTCGGCAAGTGCTATGCCACGACGATCGGCCGTCAATTCGGTGAAGGTTTCATCACCGGCGATACCATGACTGCTGCATGCATGTATCTGACGGTTGTCGCAGAAACGGCGTTCACCAATACCCTTTTCGTTGCGATGCCTTCCGAGGCGGCAAGAAATGGCGACTATGCGCTGCCGACCGTGTTCCTGTCGGTACAGTCGGATGAAAGCCGTCATATCGGGAATGGTCACTCCCTGTTGATGGCAGCTCTGAAGGAGCCGGAAAACCACCTGCTTCTCGAGCGGGATCTCCGCTACGCGTTCTGGCAGAACCACGCCATTGTCGACGCGGCGATCGGTACGTTCATCGAGTACGGCACAACCAACCGCGACAAGGAGAAAGAATCCTACGCGGAGATGTGGCACCGCTGGATCTTTGAAGACTATTACCGGACTTACATGCTGCCGCTTGAAAAGTACGGTGTGAAGATCCACCACGATGACGTGCAGGAAGCCTGGAAGCGTATCACCGACAAGAAATACGTCCACAAGGTCGCACAGTTCTTCGCTGTCGGCTGGCCGGTAAATTTCTGGCGGATCGAAGCCCAGACGGAAAAGGACTTCGAGTGGTTCGAGCACAAGTATCCGGGTTGGTACGCCGAATTTGGCGACTTCTGGAAGTGGTACGAAAAACTCAGCAAGCCCGGCGAGAAGGTGATCACCTTCAATGAAGAGACCGGATATGTGTATCCGCACCGTTGCTGGTCATGCCTTGTTCCGTGCCTCATCCGTGAGGACATGGTGATCGACCAGATCGATGGCAAATGGCACACCTTCGCTCACGAACTGGACCGTTGGACCGCCGTGGATGCCTTCTCCGACGAGTATCAGGGTCGGCCGACACCGGCGATGGGTAAATTTTCCGGCAAGCGTGAATGGGAAACCGTTTACGACGGCTGGGACCTGGCCGACGCGATCAAGGATCTCAACTTTGTCCGCGATGACGGCGAAACCCTGGTGCCTCAGCCGCACCTGCGCTTCGACGACAAGGACCAGTGGAAGCTTGAGCACGTGCGCGGGCATCAGCTGGCCTCACCCCTCAACGCATTGCGGGCAATGTCCGATGCCGAGCGGGATGCGCATGTGGGCGAGTACCGCAAGGGCTTCACCATCAATCCATGCACCTAAGACAATTGCGGAGGCCAGAAATGGCCTCCGTTTTCCCAAGTCCGTGAGACGCGCCACGGCATATTGGAATACGGAGACTGAGCTGATGTCAGAAACCTACAATGTCCGACTGGAACCGGTAGGTGTGGAATTTGAGGTGGCAGAGAACGAAACGATTCTCGATGCCGCATTTCGTCAGGGAATAGCGCTGCCGCATGGCTGCAAGGAAGGTCAATGTTCTGCCTGCAAATGCGTGCAGCTGGATGGCGAAAGCGAGATGCTGAACTACTCGACATTCGCCCTGAACGATATGGAGCGAGATACCGGTCACGTCCTCATGTGCCGGACGCTGGCCTTCAGCGACATTGAAATAGAGCTGCTGAACTACGACGAGGAAGTTTTGTCGAAGTCGATCCCGGTAAAGGAATATGCCGGTGAGATCGTCGATTTTCAAAAACTGACGCATGATATCCGCGGCGTTCAGATCAAACTGCATTCGCCGCTCAAGTTCTGGGCCGGACAGTATGTCGACATCACGGTCACCACGGAAGCGGGGGAGACGATTACACGCTCGTTCTCCATGGCAAATCCGCCGAGCGAAACCGAAAACCTCTCCTTCATCATCAAAAAGTATCCCGACGGAAAGTTCTCCAACGAACTCGATGAAGGCGGGATCAAGGCCGGAGCCAAAGTCCAGGTCACGGGACCCTACGGAATGTGCTTCCGAAGAGAAGGACGAGAAGGACCACTTATCCTAGTGGGAGCAGGGTCCGGAATGTCACCCGTCTGGTCAATCCTGAACGATCACCTGGCCAGTGGGGAAACTCGGCCGGTCCACTTCTTCTACGGCGCCCGCACCCGGAACGATCTCTTCAAGATGAAGGAAATTACGGACATTACGGAGAAAAATCCGTCCGTCGAGTTCATCCCTGTCCTCAGCCATGCAGAAGAAGACGGCACCTGGACGGGTGAACGGGGCTTCGTGCACGAATGCGTCGATCGCTATCTGAAGGAACTGGGCATCAATGGCGACGGAGACGTCTACGCGTGTGGGCCGCCGCCGATGATAGACGCCCTGACGCCGGTGCTGTTCATGCACGACTTCGATACCGAGCGCGTTTTCTTCGACAAATTCACTCCAACTACCGGTTCATCGGCCCACTGACATTCGGGCTGATCGCTAGTTGAAGGACTATCACAGGGAGGAATACTTCGATGGTTGCAACATCAAGCTCAGTTGGATCCGGCGCTGCAGGCGCAGCGACATTCGTTGGATCAAACAGCAGGAAGTACAACTATTTTGAACCGCGCGGGAAGCGTGCAACGCACTATGAAGACGTCACGGTGGACGTGCAGCCCGATCCCGAACGCTATCTGATCCAGGACTGGATCATCGAGTTTGAAGGCGGCAAGGCCGGTGGTGCCTATCAGAAGGACTACACCGCAGCGCTCAGCTCGAACTGGCACGCGTTTCGTGCACCGGATCAGGAATGGGAACGCACGCACTATCAACGTCAGTCCAAGATCGTCACGATGGTGCAGAACGTCATTTCGAATGCGCGCAAGGCAGGCGCTCCGGCAGCCTTTGACAAAACCTGGTGCCGGGTCCTGCAGGCACATCTGGGTGCCTGGAAACATGCCGAATTCGGTCTTGGGACGTCGCTGATGCAGGCACAGCGGTATGGCTACACGCAGATGATCAACAACGCGACGCTCACCAACTCGAGCTACAAGTTGCGTCTGGCTCAGGACATTACGTTGTATCTCGCCGAAATCGGCATGGATATCGATGGTTGGGATGACGATCTCGGCAAGAAGAGCTGGCTTGAAGATCCAGTCTGGCAGCCCACGCGTGAAGCAATTGAAGCGATCATGGGGAGCGAGGACTATCTTGAGCAATATTTCGCGATCAACATCATCTTCGAACCCCTTGTCGGCGAGCTGATCCGTTCCGGCTTCTTCATGCAGGTGGCTGCGGCCAACAACGATTTCATCACACCTCCGGTCATCTCGGCGGCCGAAGCGGATTACGAACGAAATCTCGCCAACGCGATTGACCTGATGTTCCTGCTCGTCAACGACGAAAAGCACGCGGACCACAACAGGAAACTGTTTCAGTCCTGGATCGCCAAGCATGGCCAGCTTGCCGAAAAGGCCGTGCAGAACCTGCAACCCATCTGGTCGCAACCCCACTCAAAACCCGTCGCGTTTGAAGACGTTAGAGCCGTATCGCACGAGCGTATCGATCAGATCCTCGGTGAACTCGGTCTCAGCCGCTAATCATAGGAGATTTCACCATGTCAAATATCGCTCGCGACGCGTCGAAGCAGAACATTTTCAAGTCGATGGACGAGATCAAGTTCGAGAGGACAATTTCCCACCAGTGTGGTGTCACGATGAACGATAGCGTGGAAGCGCGCGCCATCGCCGAGTTTATGGGCGAGGACCCCAAGGTCACCGTGACATACAACCCCGCAACAATCCGCATCGACGGTGAAGGCAAGCTGATCTTCAGGATGGATGAAATCGGCGAATTTCTGGGTCGTGAAATGACCGCCGAAATCTTCGAGGTCAACACGTCGACCCACTACGGCCGAATGGTCCGTGTTGACGACAACACGGTCATCCTGTTCGGCAACATGGATGAAGTCTTCGAATACATCGAGTGACACGATTGCCACGGCGCGACGGTGCGTAACCGCTGCGCCGCGGCTCCCTCTTTAGATCCGGAAGCAAAGCAAAATGATGGAGGAGCATGATGTATAAGACCGAAGACGGAAGAGAGATCTTTGTTCTCGATGGCCACACACACTTCTGGGACGGAAGTCCGGAAAACCAGGCCAATGTTCATGGCAAGCAGTTTATTGATTGTTTTTACGCCTATCACACCAACCTGAGCCCGGCTGAGGAGCTTTGGGAAAAGAGCAAGTTCGAAAAATACACTGCGGACGATGTCTATCGTGACCTGTTCATTGATGGTCCGGACGACATGGCGATCATTCAGTCGACTTATCTGAGTGACTTTTACAAGAACGGCTTTTCCAGCATTGAACGCAGTTCCGAGATGGCGTCCCGCCACCCCGAGCGCTTCATCGTCAATGGCACATTCGATCCGCGCGACGGTGAAAAGGCGTTGGAATACATCCACTACATGAAGGAAAACTTCGATATTCAGGGTGTGAAAATGTACACCGCTGAATGGAACGGAGACAGCAAGGGTTGGGCGCTGAATGATCCGGCAGCCTACAAGTGTTTCGAGCTTTGCGACAAACTCGGGATCCGCAATATCCATGTTCACAAGGGTCCGACGATCATTCCTCTGAACAAGGATGCCTTTGATGTTCACGATGTCGACTATGCGGCGACAGATTTCCAGAACCTGAACTGGATCATCGAGCATTGCGGCCTTCCGAGACTCGATGATTTCTGCTGGATCGCCACGCAGGAGACAAACGTCTATGCAGGCCTGGCCGTTGCGTTGCCGTTCATCCACTCCCGCCCCCGTTACTTCGGCGAGGTCATGGCAGAATTGCTCTGGTGGGTCGGGGAAGACAAGCTCCTGTTCGGTTCCGACTATGCAATCTGGACACCTGCCTGGCTGGTTGACCAGCTCTGGAACTATCAGATTCCGGAAGACATTTCGGCAGAACGCGGCGGCGTTCAGCTCACGGACGAGGTCAAGGAAAAGATACTCGGCCTGAATGCTGCAAGTCTGTACGGCATCGATGCCGCCGCGAAACTCAAGCAACTGAATGCTTCGCCAATTCAAGTCGCAGCGGAGTGAGTAGATGCTGAAGGAAATTCAACAATCTGAATTGGCGACAACCGTCTGGGAACAGCTGGAAAATGTCTCCGATCCAGAACTCGACGAACCCATCACCGATATGGGTTTTGTCGAGCGGGTTGAGGTTTTTACTTCTGAAAAGGTGGAAGTCGATTTTCGGCTTCCTACCTACTGGTGCTCGCCGAATTTCGCCTTTCTCATGGCGTTCGGCATCCGGCAGGAAGTGGAAAAACTGAACTGGGTGCGTGAGGTTACCGTCACGCTCAAGGATCATTGCTTCGACGTTCAGGTAAATGAGGGTGTCAACGGAAGCTGCAGCTTTGACGAGGTTTTCTCCAAATATTGCAACGGCGAAGAGCTGGAGAGCGTCAATCTCAAATTCCTTGAAAAGGCTTTCATACGCCGGCAGGAAACCGTTCTGCTTGCCTTGCAGCAGGCTGGATTGTCCGCCGAAGCAATCGTTTCCATGACGCTTGGGGAATTCGACCTGATCGAGTTTCAGGGCGAAGAAGAAGTCAGGCAGAAACCGCGTTACCGCTCCTTGCTGGTTTCTCGCCAATTGGTTTCCGGTTCGTATGATCCGGCGTTTGTGACCTGGACCGGCGAGCGGATAGAAGCGGGTAACTTGCGCCAGCACCTCAGCGAATTGCGATCCGTGCGGATCAACATGGAATTCAACGGGGCACTTTGTCGTGGACTGAGCAACACCCGCTACAAGGAAGTTGAGATCGGGCCTGACGGTCCCACTCTGGTGGACTTCATTCAAGGGCGTGTCCCCCCACAAAATTTTGAGTCTGTCTAAGCCAGGCGGAGCCAGATGCGCCGCGTGCGGCGCTCAAAAAATTCAAGGAGACAGATGATGGCCAAGCTACTCATCCATAACGGAAGTGCGCGTTCTGCGCTGGCAAATGGTGTCGCGAAACTTGCTGCAGCGGTAGAGCCGACGCTCGGGCCAAAGGGGCTCAATGCAATGATAGATCGTCCCGTGGGCACGCCGATCGTGTCCAGGGACGGGGTCACGATCGCTTCGGAGATCGAATTGACCGACCGGTTTGAAAACATGGGAGCCCAGGTCGTACGCGAAGTGAGCATGCAAACCAACGAGGTCGCGGGAGACGGAACGACAACGGCCATTGTGCTGGCGAACGCGCTGATACAAAAGGGCGTTGAGATCACGACGAATGGCGTCAAGCCCGTCGACCTTTGCAAAGGTATCGAGCTTGCCGTTTCAAGGATTGTCGAGGGTCTTGACGAGTCGTCCCGCTCCTGTGAGCAACATCCGGAATACCTGAGAGCGGTTGCGCGCGTTTCCGCATCGGACCCCGAACTGGGCGCACTGGTGGCCGAAGCCTTCGAGCGCGTCGGAAACACCGGAATAATTTCTGCCGATTTCGGTGTGACCATCGACACGACGTTGGAAATTATCGAGGGAATTTCCTTCGACCGCGGCTACATCTCGCATCACATGGTGACTGATCAGGAACAGATGGAAGCTGTTCTTGAGAACCCGTTGATCTTGATGACGGATCACAAGATCCCGTCGCCGGACGTGTTGCACGAAGCGCGTGAAATTGCCAAGTCTGCCGGTCGGCCCCTGCTTGTTGTTGCAGAAGAAATCGCACCGGAAGTGGTTGTCAGTCTGCTGGACGACGGTGGTCCCGGAAAATACCTGATTGTGCACCCGCCAGAATACGGTCATTGGCGTTCAGCGATGATGGATGACCTTGCAATTCTCACCGGTGGCGAGGTCATATCCAAGGGACTGGGCAAGAAGGTCGAGGACGTAACGCTCAAGCAATTGGGCGGGGCGAGAAAGGTAAGAGTATCCGCCTCGTTGACCAGCATCATTCAAGGCGAAGGAGACCCGGATCTCGTTGCCGCACGTCGTGCCCAGGTTCAGCGTCAGATCGAGGTTGCCCCGCCGAATATCGAGCAGGACAAACTGCGTGAGCGTTTGTCCAAGCTGACCGGTGGAACAGCCGTCATCTACGCCGGTGGTTTCACGCCCGTCGAACAGAAACGCAAGATCCAGCTGATAGATGACGCGCTCTCGGCCGTGAGGGCTGCTTCCGAGGATGGTGTCGTTGCCGGCGGTGGCACGGCGTTGGCGCAGATTGACTGGGTTCTGCATGATCTCGCCTCCGACAACGAAGCCGATGTCAGGGCCGGTGTCGAACTCGTTCGCTCGGTATTGACGCGTCCAGTCGCCAGGATCGCCAGCAATGCCGGTGCGGATGCCGATTCAGTTGTTGCCTCGGTCACGTCCGCGGCGCCGGGACAGGGGTTCAACGCCGAAATCGGTGAATTCCAGGACATGTTCGAAGCAGGCGTAATCGACCCGGTACGTGTGACGGCGAGTGCGTTGGTAAATGCGACCTCGGTAGCGACGCTGATACTGACCACGGAAACCCTGATCGGCGATCTTGACGAAGGCGAAGCGGATCCGACTGCAGGTCCGGCGCTGGGTGGCGGGGCCGAACTTCTGGGACGCGCATAAGAAATCAATTCGGGCGCATTCGCGTTCTGCGCCCGTCGACCTCATTCCTGCGGAAGGAACCTGTTATGAAAGCTGCTAGGCTTTATGAATATGACCCGGCAATGAATGTCCAACTCAGCATTGAAGATGTTGCACCGCCGACGATCAACGCAGCTGATGAAGTTGTCGTAAAAGTGGGGGCGGCCGGCTTATGCCGCACGGACCTGCATATCATTGAAGGGGTGTGGAAGGACATCATGGATGTCGAAGGGAGCCTCTTGCCATACATTATGGGCCACGAGAATGCCGGTTGGGTAGAAGACGTCGGCAGTAACGTGAAATCCGTAAAACCTGGCGATGCGGTGATTGTACACCCTCATAGAAGTTGCGGAATTTGCCTGAATTGCCGGTATGGCCACGACATGTATTGCGACCACGGGCAATTTCCGGGGCTCGGACTGGATGGCGGCTTCGCGGAATATTTCCTGACAAACGAAAGTTCGCTGATCAAACTGAACACCAATGTCACTCCTCTGGATGTGGCGCCGATGGCTGATGCCGGTATTACCGCCTATCGTGCGGCAAAACGGGCAGCCGGTCTCGTGTACCCGGGAGCATATGTCACCGTCCTGGGCGTGGGGGGGCTGGGACATATTGCGATCCAGTGTCTGAAACATCTCTGTGGTGCCCGCGTCATTGCGGTGGATCGTGAGCCGGGCGCGCAGGCACTTGCCCGGGACCTGGGCGCTGATGTTGTGCTCGACGGCGGACCCGACCTGATCGAACAGATCAAAGATATCACCAGTGGCGGAAGTCAGGTGGTGATCGATTTTGTCGGCGAACTGGGCGTGGAGAACATCTGCTGGAAATTGCTTCGCCAGGGCGGGGAATTGATTGTCGTCGGGTATGGCGGACAGATCGAAGTTCCAACGGTTGAACTTGTTGTAAACGAAATAAAAATCGGCGGCAGCCTCGTCGGAGACTATACCGAGTTGGTTGAATTGATGGAGCTGAATGCCGATGGCTTGGTGAAGATGCACTACACTGAGTATTCGCTGGACAACATCAATACGGCGATTGACGATTTCAAAAATCGCAAGTTCACTGGCCGAGGTGTGATCGTTCCGTAAGTATAGTAGAATATGATTTGTGGGCGACATTCAGTATCATCTCTGTCGCCCACTAGCATTTTGGATTTTTCTTTTCGGTACTGTTGTTTTGTATTTCAAATTTCCAGTACGCATGTAATGCGTTCTATTTTCCTCGTTCAAGCCCGTATAATTTTATCTTTCGATAGAGAGTAGGGCGTGAGATGCCCAACGAGGCGGCAACTTTGGACAGATTCCCGTTTTCAAGTTCAATTGTTCGCTGTATCGCGATTGATTCAATGTCGTCGAGGTTGAGCTTGTCAGCAGGTACCGATACGTTGTTGATTTGCGCTGAGAACTGACCCGGTATTTTCACCGAGATTTGACCCACCTTTGTTTATGTATCAGCGGTTACGTGTTGGTCAATGTTGGCTTGTCCTTTCGTTTTTTCTTTGCAGCCTCTGAGCTGGCTTTGAAGCGGTAGCTGTCGTTTCCAGTTTCCAGGATGTGGCAGCGGTGTGTGAGGCGATCCAGAAGCGCGGTTGTCATCTTTGCATCTCCAAAGACCTGGGCCCATTCTGAGAAGCTGAGGTTGGTGGTTATGATGACGCTGGTCCGCTCGTAGAGTTTGCTCAGTAGATAGAACAGTAGTGCGCCGCCGGATGGACTGAACGGCAAGTAGCCAAGTTCATCCAAAATCACGAGGTCAATTTTGGTCATCATCTCTGCCATCTTTCCGGTCTTGCCGAGCGCCTTTTCCTGTTCTAGCGCGTTGACCAGTTCGACGGTTGAGTAGAAGCGGACCTTGCACCTGTGATGTTCAATGGCCTGAACACCGATGGCGGTCGCGACATGGCTTTTGCCCGTTCCAGGCCCGCCGATGAGCACGACGTTCTCAGCGTTCTCCATGAACTCGCACCGATGCAGTTGCTTGACGGTCGCTTCATTGATGTCACTAGATTTGAACTCAAAGCCTGCGAGGTCCTTGTATGACGGAAAGCGGGCCACCTTTGTCTGGTATGTGATTGAGCGCACTTCCCTTTCGGCAATCTCCGCTTTGAGCAGTTGGGACAACATAGGTGTTGCGGCCTCAAAAGAAGGCCCGCCTTGGGCGACCAAATCTTCTACGGCGTTTGCCATGCCATAGAGCTTGAGACTGCGCAGCATGATCACGATTGAGGCTCCTGCTGGGTCATGACGCATGGTACTTGCCCCCAGCCTGTCTCAGATCATCATAGCGGTCCACGTTTGCCTTTGGCGCTGTTTCCAATGCGAGTGCATCAGGTGGATCGACCTCTGGGAGATCAGTGTGCGTTCCGTCTATCAGCCGGTGCAACAAGTTCAGAATGTGGGTTTTGGTTGGCACGCCAGCCTCCAACGCCAATTCTACGGCACACAGAACGGCATTCTCATCATGGTGCAAAACCAATGACAGGATATCGACCATCTCGCGGTCACCACCTTCTCTGCGGTGCATGTGACCTTGCAAGTTGCGGAAGGCCTCTGGCATCTCAATGAACGGTGCTCCGTTGCGCAAGGCACCGGGTTTACGTTGGATTACAGCGAGATAGTGGCACCAGTCGTAGATAACACGACCAGGTTTGCGGTGTGATCGATCTATGATGCGCTCATGTGTGCAAACGGTCTTCCCCTCGGCCACTATGACCAGCCGTTCTGGATAGACATGCAAGCTGATGCGCCGGTTGGCAAAGCTCGCGGGCACGCTGTAGCGATTACGCTCAAAGGTGATCAGACATGTTGGCGACACACGCTTACTGTGCTCCACAAAACCGTCGAAGGCGGGTGGTAGTGCCATCAACATGGGCTTCTCTGCTTCCCAGATGTCAGCAATAGTGCCGGGCAGATCCCGGTGCGGTGTCTCAATCCAAAGGGCGATGCAGCGGTCTTCCAGCCACTGGTTCAGCTCATCAAGATCCTTGAAGACAGGCATGACCTGCCACATGCGATTGCGCGCATCTTGGACGTTCTTCTCGACTTGGCCCTTCTCCCAACCTGCCGCTGGATTGCAGAACTCGGGTTCAAAAACATAGTGACTGGCCATCGCCTTAAACCGGGCGTTGATGTCACGCTGCTTGCCACGGCCAACGCGATCAACAGCAGTTTTCATGTTATCATAGATCCCGCGTCCAGGCACACCGCCAAAAACGCGGAACGCATGCCAATGGGCATCGAACAGCATCTCATGCGTTTGCAATGGGTAGGCGCGCACTAAGAAAGCTCGGCTGTGCGAGAGCTTCGTATGGGCCGCCTGCAGCTTGACCCGTTCACCGCCGATAGTGGCCCAGTCTTCGCTCCAATCAAACTGGAACGCTTCGCCGGGTTGGAACACCAGCGGTACAAACGTGCCGCGCCCAGTTGTTTGCTCGGCACGATGCCGGTCGTCACGCCAGGCACGGGCAAAAGCGGCCACGCGCGCATAGGATCCTGCATAGCCCAACTTCACCAAATCGGCGTGCATCTGCTTCACAGTACGCCGCTCTTTGCGCGATTTGCGTGTCTGAGCCAACAACCATGCAGACAAACGATCCGCATACGGATCAAGATTACTCGGTCGTTTGGGCACCTTGAACTTCGGCTCAACAGCGCCCTCTCGCAGGTACTTCTTGATGGTATTGCGAGACAAACCAGTACGGCGGGCTATCTCGCGAATGGGCATCCCTTCACGTAATGCCCAACGTCGAATGACACTTAAAAATCCCATGTCGATCACTCCATATCTCCCCCAAACAAAAGCGTCAGGGTAGCGTCGTTACATGGGTCAGTTCTCAGTGAAAATTTATGGGGCTACCGGGTCAGTTCTCAGCGCAAATCAACACCGATACGTGGCCGGCTGGCAGGATCATATCGTCATCCGGAGATGTGATGTCCGGTGGAAGATCCCACATGGAAATCCGTTCGCTCTTTGCCAGCAGGCACAGTCTTTCGATGGTGTTTCTGAGTTCGCGTACATTTCCAGGCCAGCGATAGGTGCCGAGTGCCGTTCTTGCGCTGTCGTCGAAGGTCAGCAGAGGACGTCCGAACTTGCGCGATAAAACCCCATTGAACTGATCGACAAGCAGTTGAATGTCGTCACCTCTTTCGCGAAGGGGCGGGACTTCAATGACAATCGCGCTGATCCTGTAGAAGAGATCCCGTCGAAAATTGCCTTCTTCGATGTCGTTGCGCAGATTTCGGTTGGTCATTGCGACCAGCTGAACATCAATTGCGCGCCGCCTGTTGCATCCGATGCGATAGACCGCTCGCTGTTCCAGCGTCCGCAGCAGATAAGATTGCAGTTCCAGCGGCATGTCGCCGATTTCGTCGAGACATATCACACCGCTGTTTGCCAGTTCGAACTTGCCGACCTTCCCTTCTCGCAACGCACCGGTGAAAGCGCCGGCGACATGTCCAAACAGTTCGCCACCGATCAGGTCGCTGGAAATGGCCGCGCAATTGACAGCGACATAAGGAGCGTTTTTCTTTTTGTGGTGGCTGTGAATCAGACGGGCGAACAGTTCCTTGCCGACGCCGGTTTCCCCTTGAACCAGAACAGTAACATTCGCTTCTGCCGCCCGGCGCGCATAGTCCATGGCTTCGAGCATTCTCGGGCAATTGCCGATAATCTCGATTTCATCTTCCTCGACGCCACTGCGTGCCGAGATTTTTACACTCTGGGACCTGGCCGCGGGTTTCTTTGATTGGGAGTCGCCAGGCAGGATCAGAACAGCGCCGCGAGTTTCACCGCCGGTCTTGAGAAGTTCGACGCCCTTGATGACCAGTTCACGCGGAATAGCTTCGGCAAGTTGTCCGTCGGTCATTTCCGGTTTCATGGCCAGCAACTTCCGGCCGATCACAAGATCCTGCTTGCGTCTGGAGGAAATCTTGTCGGTGTTCCGGTTGTAAACGATCCGTCCAGCCCGATTGAGGAGAACGATGCCGTCGGTGCTGCTGTGCGTAGAGGGCGAGTCGATGAGAGCTTCCAGAAGAAGTGTCCTTTCTTCCCGCAGTCCCTCTGCCAGGGCAATTTCAATCTCGCGTGCTGCGGCAACAACAAGCGCAAGATTGTGCGGTCGGAAAATGGCCGGCGGCCCGGACAGATCCAGTACTCCGGCGATACTCTTGTCTAGGGGGTCGAATATTGGCGCGGCGGCGCAAGTCCAAGCCTTGATGCCCACGCAAAAATGTTCGGATGCATGAACGTAGGCTGGTGTTCCCGTGCTCAATGCGGTTCCGATACCGTTCGTCCCGATGACGCCTTCCGCCCAGACGCCCCCGATTTCCAGCTGAATGTCGCGTCCTGCGTCTATTGTCTCCGGATCGCCAATTGCCTCGATAATTGTTCCATTCTTGTCCGTAAGGATCAAAATGGCTCCGGATTCGGCCAAGTGCGGTGCGAGTCGTGCAAAGGCGGCCCTTGCGGCAATGACAAGTGTCTGGTTCTTCTGGGTCAGCGTGAAAATATTTTCAGCGGTAAGCTTTTTGGGAGAGGCTTGCGACAGCGCACTGATCCCGAGGTCTTTGCTTCGATCCCAGGACTTCAGTATTTCCGGTCGCACACCTGCAAGTCCGCGTTCGATTTCATTGGTATCCAGCCGACCTTCAACATACTGCTCCCAGGAGCGCATCGTTTGGCGTTCGGCATTGATTGAATTCGTCTCGCGCTTCTTGAAGCCGGCGTGATTCTGTGTCGTGAAATAGCTCGTTGGCATGTTGTCTCGCGTCCCTGACAAGTAGCAATTCTGAGCGTGAATTTTTTGTCCCTCCCTCAATTCGGGGTCAGGGGACCTGCAGTCTTTTCCGGATAACGTCGAGCATTTTTTCTTCGACTTCGGGGGATTCGATGACGACGCCGTCCAGATCACTCAAGGAGTGTTCAATCTCCTCGTCGACGGGTGAAATGAACCCGTTCTTCTTCGTTGACAAGGCGAAGTAGCGAAGAGAGTCCCGTTCCCGGACCTCGCCCAGAAACAATATCTGTTTTCCGGACTTGGTATCCATCACAAACACGCGCCCGTTCGGGCTCCGGCGCAATCGCGGTTCCG